TCATTGTCATGAGATATCTCTCTGTGCTTAACCCTCATTATCTGTACTCATATATGAGACTAAGTGCTGAGACATTAACGGTTCTCAAAGTCGAACGTAGAAAAAAATTCACAGCAAGATTTTGCGTTGCCGGTACGGCATGTTCAAACTCCGCCCTGCCCTGTCACTCGACATCGTCATTACTGGCGTCGATGGTGCCAAAGATTCAATCCGATCACCAATCGTTGTCATAATAAACGCCCTGAATCATGTCACGCTCTGGACAGAGAGGTCGAGGTGGTGGAGTTCGAGCCGGTGTGTCCGCCAGTACGGACACTGGGAAGAAATGCACTATTCATTGGGAGGGGGTTCGTAGCGCTCGTACGGAACGTCTCCTTGCCTGGTGCAAGGAAAACGAAGATGCACGGATCAAGCTGTTCTCCGATTCTGCAAAGGATGCGAAGGAGCAAGGTCGGAAGAAGAAACAGAGCGGAACTTCGAGAGATACCTTTTATTCACAGGTCGCACAAGCCGTATTTTCGAATGACGAGGATCCGGAGGTCCAACGACTTTTCAAGGAGGACCCAAAGGCATTTATCAAACCAGTTTCAACTCGTTTCGGCACGTATGTATCCCGTTCCTGCATTGTTTCTCCTCCCACTAGAATCACTGATCAGATGTTTTAGGCTCAAGAAAAAATATAACGAGTTCAACAAGGAGCTCAAGCAGTCAGGAGCCGGAAAGACATATGCAGAGCTGCAAGAGGATCCAACGATGAAGTCGTTGATTGGTAAGTTTTAGCCGCTGTTGAACTGCACATGTCTTAATCGTATCTCTGTTAGATACAAAGCTCAAAAAATTTCCCTGGTGGCCTGAGCTTCATGGCTGGTGGCGCACAAACCCAGCTTTCAATTACGCCTTCTCTACAGCGGATACAGGGCAAGATTTTGCGTCCGCTGCATTAGAACATTTCGCTATCTCAAAGCAACCACAAGCACCGGCCGCAGGCGACGATGACACTCACACAGATGAGGATGCCGAGGACGGAGAAATAGTTGAGATCAGCGCTCATACTACAGGTGATGCTGGCATTATAGATGCACCAGATGATATGATGGTTGACCAGCCCCCCTCCATGGAGTCATTCGAATCACCGTTGTCAGCACCATCCCCACTGTTATTTTCGGACCATGGTCCTAGCGACACGCCCAACTCATTCTCACTCGCTCCATTACCACACTGGTACCAATGACCCCAACCTCCTCCCATCACAACTTCCAACACACACGGCGTGATATCGCTGAACTCTCCTGAGCGCTCACCAGTACCCAATCAAAGCACCACCCACAATTCACCTTTCTTTTCTGATTTCAAGGAGTCATCAGCTAGCCCTCAATCCACACCCATTGACTCGGAAGATTCGGACATTGGTGCTAGCCGAGCGCTGCAGTCTCTTCGCGTCAGCTCACTCAAAGGAAGTCGCGCAAGTTCACCCTCTCTTTCTACAAAGCAGTCTCGTGCACGTGCACCTACTCAGAGTGCTTCACCTCAATCTAGTCGCCCCCCCTCTTCATCACGCAAACGCCCTGGTGGCAGCACTCTCGATCAGACCTCTGCTGCTGCAGATAGGATGTCTCAGACGGCAGATTCCATAATGACGCACCTTAACAGCAAACGTGAGGATCGTGTGGAGCACGAACGCTATAAACGCATGAAACTTGAGACCGAAATTTGGGCTCGTGATCTCAAGGCCCGCAGTGCTCGTGATGAGCGGGAGCATGCGATGCTTCTATCTGACCAAGATCATCAGCACCAGCAGGAGAGGATGACTCAACAGATGGAATTTGCAAGAATTGAGATTGAGCTATCTCGTGCACGTCGGGAGGAGGAGGAGGCTCGAATTCGTCGTATTGCTTTGGAGCGTGGTCTTGATCAAAACTAAGTAGGTTTGCACTATGTTGTCACGTAACAGGTTTTCAGGAAATGCATTCCATGTTGTACTCGATGGTGCCAACTCAGAGAGCTCACTAAAACGCTCCTTTCTCGAGCAAATCTCAAGCACAACTGATCCCTCCTAGAGCTCGCCAAAACGCTCCTTTCTTGAGAAAATCTCAAGCGCTACTGACCCCTCCTAGAGCTCGCCAAAACGCTCCTTTCTTGAGAAAATCTCAAGCGCTACTGACCCCTCCTAGAGCTCGCTAAAACGCTCCTTTCTCGAGAAAATCTCAAGCGTGACCTTGCGAGCCAAAAGGAATATGTATAGGTACAAGTACATTTAATATAATACTAACTACCTTCGCTCCAACGACGAAAGCAACCGCGTCTTTAACGTGTTACGAAAATCCTGCCCCACAGTTCCAATGTAAGTCTGATCACCTACTGCGCCACCCTGTTGCTGATCATCCTCTCCTCCGTCACCGTCAGCTCGCCTCAATCTCCGAGTTTGCTGATAGAAGCATATGTTTGAGTCTTCGCGGTTTTCTGTTTCCTCAATTTCAACAATTAAGTTGTGCAGAATGAAGCACGAACGGATCCACATGTTCGCGTAGTCGAGGTCCTTCTGGCTTTGGATTGGGATGCGAAGCTCCCGCAGTGATTGGAACCGGCCCTTGATAGAGCCGAAGAAGTGCTCTGAACGAACGCGGACCTAGACACTGGGTGAGGACGACAAAAGTATATTAGTACTGATGCTCACTGTTGACAGGTTATAATTGAATGTCCTTTGCTCGGCCGTCAAAGACCCTCCCGCTGGCCGTTTGTACGGCGGCACACACCAAATTCGCGCAGCATACGCCGAGTCCGCCCACAACCACTCTCCCGCACCAAAAAACGACTTGGGATGCCGGGAGACCCTCGTTCGTGCAAATACGTTCGAGTCGTGAAGACTCCCGGGTACGCCAATGACGTAGTCAACGATATGCAGATTATGAGGGAATATGACGACCTTTTGGATTGTAAGTCGCTGCGCTGCACACTGAGCCGATAGTAGATACTTACCTGGGCTGTTAGAGAGTAGTCAAGAGTTCTTGTCAAAGAACCCTTCGCCGTGCCAACCGGGCTTCTTGTGTAGAGGGGACGGAGTCCCATCTACACAAAGGAAACCGCCGCGCCACTCACGACATGTCTTCTGCTCCACGTACGCTTTTGCCCGCTCTCGCTCAATCTGGTCCTCACGATCGAGCGGATCAAAATGTATGGCGCGATCATGCAGTTGCAAGATCGCGATCATGACTCGCTTGTAGCAGTTGTAGATGGTCCCTACGGACACTCCAGCCCAATCGGATATGTCTTCAGTAGTCGCAGCATTGCCATAATGGCCAACACCATTGAGAAAGATCACGAGCTGGACGGCGACAGGAAGTTGTGGATTATTCGAGTTATTATGGAAAATGGGGTGGGCTTGGATTAATGTTGTGAGTTTGTTGAATACCTCTGCATCAACGCGAAGCTTGCGGCGAAACTTTTCAGGTGAGAGCAGCGCCCATTCTTGCAGCAGGTGTAACTGCGGTGCGCGAGTCAGAGATGGACGCACGTCAAGTACCCGACACTTCTCCACTTCATCATGCAGTGCCCCGATCGCATCAATAAAGTGCATAAACACTTGATCGCACATGTCTGGGATATCGAGTGATAGGACATCAGAATATGCTGTTGAAAGCGAGGTTACTAGAGAGCTGATGGACAACGTGGATATGACGGATGACGTCGGGGACTCAGGCCAAGTTGGCGATGCGGTCCGTATGCTGACATCTGACCCACTATCACCATCCGATCCCTTATCAGAGCTATTGTCAGAGCCCTCCTCGAGGAGCTGATCCACCATAAATTCAATCAACTCCATGTATCGCGCAATCGTAAGGTCATTTGTTGTTTGCTTCAGACTACGAAGTAGTTTTTTGCGATCCAATTCTCGAGGCATCTTCCGATGTCGTTGCAGAACGTTATCAATATGATGGTCACGGTAAGGTACGATGATGATGGGCGGTGGTAAGATATGAGCTTGATTTGTCATCGTCGGAGTTCTAATTATCGGCAAGTCGCAAATTTCTTACCTCTTGAAATTTCTACGATTTTAACTTTGAGGACCGCTATTGCCCTACTGCTGTACTACTACTAGTGATGTCTCAGCTCCAAGCTGCATTTTTCAGAAAATGAGCATAACATGCTGAATAAAATTCCTAAATTCATGAAAATATTTATGGACATAGATTGAGCCAAAAGCTGGGAGGCATCTAAGGGGAATTTGTACTATAATGCATCATTGTCTTGCTATGAAGCAGCTCAGCAAATGGCTTGGATTTTGAGTCATTTTCTGAGCTGCTTCATAGCAAGACAATGATGCATTATAGTACAAATTCCCCTTAGATTGTGGTGATAACAGGCGAGCGAACAAGAAGAGAGGGAGCTAGAAAACAAGGTACGATCTCAGTCTTTGCTCAAGAACTCTTATTAACAATGTGCGCTACCTAGAAAACAAGGTACGCTATGGCTTTTGTTAGCTAACGCTGACATGCGCAAAACTAATTACTTACATCTCAGTCTTTGCTCAAGAACTGAGATGTTCGCGTCTACGGGCGCTTGACTTTATAGCTGGTAAGTAAGGAACGAAAATAAAACATAACTCATCTGACATATTGTCAGGAACTCGGCCGACGTCAGCACAGCGCATCCTATTGGTCTCTTTGGGCTTGCGCTCGAACCACGTTCCTCAACTTCTCCCCCTCATGCCTGGCTTCTCGGATTCTTCGGCCATCGTCTTCTCTGCTCCCTCCAGTTCCCCAGAATCCGACATAGATGCCTCTCGGCTTTTGGCTCAATCTATTTCCATGAATATTTTCATGAATTTAGGAATTTTATTCAGCATGTTATGCTCATTTTCTGAAAAATGCAGCTTGGAGCTGAGACATCACTATGTACTAGTATGATTGGTGGCCCAATAAGATGCTGAATGACAGTGAACATGATGTTATGTTCATTCCATTTTTATCTACACTAGAGGAAACTGAAGATATAACTCATAGATTTGAACTGGTTGCTATATGTCACCGTGGATAGGCTGAAAGTTATCACAGGTGATTGTACTCAGCTACGGCACTATGTCAATTTTAGGGGTTTGCCATGCAAGACACAAGTAGTTTAGAGGGTCTGGTAAGAGTTATGATGGATTTCTACACACCACAAAGGGAAAAATAACAATAAAAGTGTACTGATGTAACAGGTTTGCGCCATACTCTATGTACGCGAGGTTTTGGACCTCAGAGTCAACAATCGGCATCCGCAACATCTACAAGATCACAAATGCCATAAAAGCCATCACCACGCCAATGATAATGCCCCTCGACGATGCTTGTAGACCGACAGCCGCGCTCGTGCTGGTAGTAGTGCCAGTAGTAGCAGCGACGACTGGTGGACATTGCGGAGCAACAAGCTGCTCGCCGTATGTAGAGGCAACCCAAAGGAGTACGCCGTTCGTCCATCCGAATCCAGCCTGAACGGTGTATTCACCGCCACCACCAGAAGCGTCGACATTGAGGTTGGAAAACTTCTCAAACATCTGCATTACACGTGAGTATGTGGTCTGAAGAATCAGATTGAGAATGACGGACGTTACCAGTGTTGCCGACGCTGTCGGTTATATTTAGCTCACTAGTTGGAAGCTGGGGCAGCAATCCTGGAATTGAACCACCAGTGGCATGCCTGAGGAAGTCTCAGCGTGCTTCAATGAAGAATAGGTATATCCCACTTACCAACTGCAGAGCACGCTAACGTAATATCTGTTAGCCAGCTCGCGTTGAAGCGTGTCCCTCCACCCTTCGCCCGCAGTGGCATTTCCGCCATTAATCACAGTACCGCTTAACTTGTTGATATCCGCCGCTGGACCAGTTGCGGTCGCGTTTTGATTGGTTTGTGATCCGAGGATCGGTTGACCAGGAAGTTGAGCTTCCGTAAAGCCAAGCTGGCCTGCCGGGACGAGATCATATGTAGACTGATCAGAGCTGGGTGTAGGCAACCCGTTGGTGGTAAGATTAGACGGAATAGCCTGGAGTGCCTGCAAGATTATGTACTGCAGTGGAGGCCAACAGTTCGGGGCGTCCCTGTAATATACGTGTCATAAAATTTGCATGGAAAAGACATAGAGAGCTACCATTGCAAGCCAGTCCAATCGACAAAAGTGACCGGAATTGTACCATTGTACTTGTTCACCGCCAAGTTGACCGCTGCGAAGTAACCAAATGCATTGGATTGAGAAGCGAGGACTTCGTCGGGGATGATGCCGTTCCAAACAGGATAGTAAGTTGCGGCCGTAAATATATCGTTGCGGGCATTCGAAGTCAGGTTAAAGTCATAAAAAGCGAGCTTGGCTGGGTCCCAAAGGAGGTCCAGGATACCCTCACGAATACCGGCAGCGACCTGGAGATGGTTGCTTGACGCAGTCGCATTGGACGTGCCGTAAAGCTCAGCAAGAAGCAATCTGGCCTTGTCTGTCATCCCAAAGTTCCCATCAACCAAAACGCACAACGACAAATTGACATACACAGAATACTGTTAAGACAGATTGGGATGTTGTTCTTCACATTGAGCGAGCGCAGGCCAGGGTTGCCAAGCTGAGGGATAGCCTCAAAGCGTGAACTATAATCCCATCCGGTCTCAGCGCCAGATGCAAGCTCGCTGTAAAGCTCGGCAGCCTGATCATCTGTGAGGGGCGTAGAAAGAGTTGGGTCATGAACAGTCAGATAATCTAAATATTGGCACATTGAGAAAAAAGGTAGGAGAGTCGGATTCACCAGAATAACCCACCAGTGAGATATGATTCGGGTCGAGGAGCAGTGTTGGTGACTGCATAGTGTGCCATCATGTAGGTTCGGTTGGTGTATGGGCTTGTGACGTTAATTGTACGATTATTTGCCCACCAGGCAAGCTCAGCCTGCACAGATCTTCAGAATGTATACTCTACAAACGGAGTAGACTACTGACCTCAGCCAAAGGAAGAGCACGTTGTAGAATCGAAGTATCTCCAGTCACGTTAACATAGTCATACACCATCTGTGTCACGATTTGATGTCATGATCACATCGAAAAAATCTAAATCTCGGCAGAACTCACATGGATAAAGAGAGGTGGTTGTGACCGGTTCAAGTCTATATCACCAACAATGAGATGCGCCGACTCATTCAGGACGATCTACTCACAATAGATACGACCACCGTTCGGAATGAAACCGAAGTCCTCGATCTCATCCATGAAGTTTTGCAAAGTGGTGTTTACAGTTTCATATAACTCTGATTGAAATAGACCCTGAATGATCCAGTAGCTGTCCCAGTAATCTGTCGAAAGCCACCAGATATCATCGATATCCACCTGAGCAGAGACACAGAGAAACACGAACATTGTTCTCTAAAGCGACCACCAGGAATAACGAATGTATGGTTCAGGGGAATGAACGAGCCCTCGCACGTGCCGCCGGGGTAATCGTCACAGACAGCAGACTGGTTAGTACTACGGGCAAGCTGAGTCCAGTAACCATGAACAGTTTGCGCAAACGCCTTCAACAAAGGGTCCGTCACGTTGTTGAGGAATGCTGGAGTAGGATTGAAGTTCGTGAGAGCGGCAGCCTCCAGTTCAAGACCTTCTCCAAGGAAATCGTTATCAACAAAATTCACAATCTCCCCTTCGGTAGCCGTCGACAAGTTGAAGTTGCTGAAGTCTGCAAGAACTTGCTGAGAGGACTTGCCGGTTGGCTTATCCACGAAGGTCTTCGGGTCAGAGTACACCTGAGCGATATTGACTGTCTGCAACAACTGAGCAAAGATTAGTACTAGGACCCTCAAAATCATTGTAGACTGAAACGTACTGAACCAGCGCAAAATATTTGACCAATGCACCATCCTTGGGTTGGGGGTAGTGGTGCCTGCGCGGGTAGAGTCGCGCCTAGTGATGCACTAGGGCTAGCTACCGCTGTCGAAATGGTCAATGTTGGCAACGCGGTGCCAGGCGTAGTGGTGGTACTACTGATAGTAGCTGCCAATATGGTTTGGACAAGGCCGGCGACGACCACAACCTTCAAGCTCGACACCATCATGAGCGCGGGATATGTATGTCCTAGTCACCAGCGACGCGAGCAGCGTGACGAGATGTCGTAGAAATACCAGGAGCTCTTGAAGCCTGCCACGACGCAGCCTAATAATCGCCAGCTCATGGGAGTTCTTATAGGCCGCGCCCTCCGGAGTCCCATGCACAATAGCGCTACCCTGGCTACAAAACATTGACAAATCCTGGCATTGTTGATGATGCATATGGATCATAGGTCTGCTGACTGGGCCGGCGTCTTGCAAATCTCCCACAACACTTCAACCCGCAAGTACATTTCTCAATTCTCATCAGATGTCCGTTAAACTGCCATGAAACATCCGAGGACATCGCTAGGGGAATTTTCCGAGTGATGGAGTTGGGTACAGCTAACAACGATCGTACGTTACAGAATTAATATTGGCGCGGAGTTGCCCGTACGCTTCTAGTTAGTCACTCATAATCATAATGTGACACACTCATTCCGCCAGCAAATTCCCCATAGTGCAGCATATACCAATGTATCAACTAGCCAGCAAACCCGCGACGCTTATGAAATACAAAACGCTTCAACCCGCCCATCTCATAGTTCAGTGAAGAGTTGTGCACGTGGACGTACCTGAAAATCCCTCAGCTGGCGACAGCGATGGAGTCGGGCCGAACTTCATCAGGATTCAGAATGGAAGTTCTCGTTCACCGGTAAAGCTACAGAAAAAGATGTCGAAAAGATGTCGGAGGAAATCTTGACAACCATGGTCGAATGATGTTTTACTGTGATCGGGAGCAGGCGGCTTAGATCGGGTCAACGAGACCGACAGCATCGAGGAAAGGGTAAAACTCAACAAGTCGAAGGCTACCAAGGGTGCGTTTATTCAACAATAGCACCTTGATACGGCGACAGCAGAAATAGTCAGGTCTAGGTGTATATCTCATTACTCATTCCCTCGTCAATTAATAGCTCCAAACCGTTAAACAGATCTTGGAAACTCAACAGCAAGGTGCCATGTGCAATTTGAAACATCCCGAAGGTCTTCACCGATCGATTGATACACGTACGCTCAGAAAGAAGTATCATTCGTCACGGGAATAGGTCAATGACGTACTTACGGATGCACCCTTTTAGCCCTTCCGCAGCCTATCAAGCATCCTAAATCCTCATCTGGCGTAGTGTAGTTGCTTCTCGAAGCTCATACACCTCAGCAGACATGATATTAATGCTACAACGCACCTGCCCCCTGAGCAGAGCAGCCCCAGCGTGAAAAGCCCACTCTCTGTTCAATCGACCATCAGCTTTTCCGTGTGCAGGCCTTCGCCATATGCCATGCTCTCGAAGATGATTTGTCTCCAGATGCTGATGGTGAATTCTTGTGCCTCTTCTTCCAAAACCTGTTCATGGATGTTTAGTGAATGAGAGGTACACCAATTATGTGTAAGGCGCACCGGCTCCAGCCCTTCGATAAGCTTGTGAGGCCCCTTATGATCCTTAAGGTGCTCCACGACAAACATGACAAGGTCGTCATCCTCTAGTTCACCGAGATAGTTGACCATTCGGCGGCGTATCAATGGCTCCAGCTTGCGGTCAATCATGGGCTATGGCACATTATTAGCAGGCAGCTTGTGCACGAACAACCAAATTCTTACATCTGAAACACCATCCCACCTGACTTTAGCCTTGAATAGCACCTCCTTATTGTGGGGTACAGATTCCTTGATCATCTGGAGGCGTTCTTTGGCCTTATCGCCTTCGGTGGCGCTAAAGTCAAGCTTAACGAGAGGCACCTTCCGCTTCTTGATGCCCTCTTCCTCCTCCTCTTCCTGTCCAAACACAGTCGGTTTCGTGTCCTTGGGAATAGGTTCTGCCTTGACAGGCGGGGGATTCAGTGATACGCTAAGCTTGACTGGCGCACCGTCATCAAGAAGCATGCCTGCTTTCCGCTGCTCTTCGGCAAGAGCTTGCATGTCCTCCATCTGGCGTGCGAGGAATTTCTCAGACTCGACACGAAGATTCTCTGTCTCACGTTCTTCATAGATGCGGGACTCAGAATCCGTTGCTTCTTCTGCAGCAAGCCTACGGGAACGAGTCTGTCTCCATCGTGTTCTGATAGACTATGAGCGAAACCACGGAGCACAAACTTGTAAACGTACCTGTCGACGTAAAACATTTCATCACTTTCGTCATCATCCCAAACATCCAAACGAGCTTGCATCTCAACACGATCCCGTTCTTCTGCCTCTTTGATTGCGTTCTGGCGGGCTATCGAACGCTCCAGAGCTGCTATGCGAGTGCGTTCTCGAGGCTCGTAGCGACGTTCGCGCTAGATTGTGAAGGTTAGTACGATGATTCTACCTGACGAAATAACTACCATGACTTACGTCCCGGAAAGAAACCTCCTCGTCTCGCCGCCTGGCTTCCTTGCGGTCCTTTTCAAGTTCCTCGTCTGTCTTTCCGCTCTTGCCCGGCATACTCCGATCATCAGACCCCATTGCAGCGGCACCATCTTCGGCTTTTACAAACCCCACAGGTTTGCTGTATCCCTGAGCATCCTTTCCACGGGGAGCTGATTTACCAGGAATACCCTGCGGTGATTGTGGGGTTTGTGGCTTTCCCCATTCGCGGACTTTCGGTCCGCTCGGGGTAGGTGCAAGCTGTGGCATGGCATCACGAACGTCACGTAACTTTTCCCGCTCCCGCTTTGCGGCTCGTTCACGAAATTGGGCGATTTCAGATATGACAAGACCACGCTGTGTCTCAGGAAGATCGGCTTCTTGAAGATCGTGTAGATGTGGTGGGATAACATATTTTTCTTTGTCGAGGAGACCGTTGTTGGCTGCTTCTTGTGATTGTTTATTGATCTCGGCTACTAATTCATCAACCCTGATTTTTGCTTGCTGCAACATTGTCTCATCGGCCTAAGCGCATGATTCGTTAATTCATTGACGGTCAGGTAAGGAGAGTGGAGAATAATTACATCAGTTTTCATTTTTTGTGCAGAGTAGGCATCCAGAAAAAGCTTCGTCTTTTCATCGGCTTTGATCTGGATATTCGACGTAGGCTTGAAAGGAGAGATATACAAAGCACGACGCACCAGTAATTTCTTGTTCGCGCATCCATCCTCGAGTGCCGGTAACTCAACACCCTGCAAAAGAGCAAGACATCGTAAGGCAGAGTCAGGATCTTCAAACTCAGCAAATCCAAAACCCTGGGGCTTGTTCGCTGGGGTGATAAGGCGTTTGAAGGACTTGACGGGGCCACACGCCTGAGAAGCCGCTGTAAGCGATTGACATGAGAGGATTTGGACATCTGATCCTTACCACAAGAAGTCTGTTCAGAAAGCTATCGGTGACACCGCCAGATATTGAACCGACGAACAGAGACGTCAACTTCTGTGCTTGAGGAGGGACAAAGCCCTGGTGAAGCATCTGTTGCTGCTGTGCGAGAGCCGACATTGAGGGCCCCTGGCCGTATGATGGCAAAGGTGGACGCAGACCAAGTCCTAACCGATTTGGAATGGGTTGCATTTTGATTGAAAATGTATCTTGAAGTAACAGAAACTTTGCAATTGATTCTTTGGAAGAATCAGTAAGACTCTGTCAGAAAATAATATTAAGACGCACAATTGAGATACTCTAAACGTTTTGATAAACAGTCAGAACAGTAAAGCAAAGGAGAAGAAGGCAGAGGCTCGAGGCAAGCTTGCAGCTAGTGGATGTCACCGCGTAAGTAAGCGCTCGTTGTGGTTCGCGTGAAAGGGCAGCACCCGACATTTCCCACGCTCTTTCGTCTGTAAATCTAGTTTCCTACATCGTCCTGCTTCAAGTCGCGAGCGCAATGGTCCTCTTCTTCACTTCCACTGGTAAGTCCTTCTATCATATCAAGTTGCGGCAATACTGATATCTGGTATAGTGGTTGATCCGCCAGTGATGCTTTACATGGGCAAGGATAAAGTCGAGAGTGAGCCCAGCAACACCTATCACACAACACACTGAAGTTCACCATACCAGATCAGACGAAGATTTGATCAAATATGCATGGCCTCAGGATGTGTGGTTCCACGTCGACAAGCTGTCTTCTGCGCACGTCTATATTCGCATGCCACCGACCATGACCTGGGACAGTATTCCCCAGGCGCTTTTGACCGATTGTGCGCAGCTGGTGAAAGCTAACTCGATCGAAGGTTCGTGAGCATATTCAGGTCATTTATCGCCAGATGATCGATCTTGGATGTGAAGGAAATAAGAAAGACAACCTCACCATTATTTATACTCCTGGGAGTAACCTCAAGGTAGGTCTACCACCATCGCACGTACTTGCCGTCCACCTGAAGATGTTCATACCAGAAATCCGGAGACATGGCCGTCGGTCAGGTGTCATTTCATAGTGACAAACAAGTACGTGTGCCTATATCTCGATCATCGCTGCCGACTAAATGCTGTTGTTTTATAGGTCAAAAGAGGTTCTCGATTTCCCCATTCAATCGTTTTTATGGCTCAATACCCCCTCAGTTCACATTCCAAAGCGAGAAAATGTAATTGTAAACCGTCTTAACAAGACAAAAGTCGAGAGGGATGTGGATCATGAGCAAGAGCGCGTAGAGCGCATCAAGAAAGAGAATGCAGAGAAAAGAGTTATAGCTGCTCAAAACGTTCGCTTCACACTATCTCGCTTTCAAATCAAACACTAATTAAGAACACAGAAAAAAGCTGAAGCAGAGCTAGCCAAGGCTAGAGAAGCGGAGAAGGCTTCCCGCTCCTACGATTTGTTATTCGAAGTCGAGGAAGATCCTGATGCACCGAAGCTGACCGGGAAAGCTATCGAAGAGGACTTCATGTAATCGTATAAACCTGATCCAAGTGCCTATCAACGATATTGTGCTCTCTTGAGTCCGTCGTAATATACCTGTATGGACTTATATATCAGGCAAATTGCCTCCTGTGATATCGGTAACCGGATAGTTTTGGGTCCTCCTTTCGAAGTTCTGGCGCCTGCCTAGACTCAACCAAAAAAAACTATGACCATACGTTTTGCCGCAGCCACGATCCATACAACAGGGGAGGACGTAGACGATCGATCAGTATCATCTCAAACGGACTCAGATTACGCCGAGGAGGACAACAACTTTGAAGATTGGGTATCAGATCAAGCGCAAAATCAGTCTTGCCGGTCACTCTTCGAGGACAAGGCCTTTCCTTCAGCTGCTGCTGCTCGTGCACACGATAAGGATGTCCACAACTTTGAATTACGCACCATAAGCGCGAAACTGGGTTAGTGTCGAAGTTATCGTGAATTTTCAATTAGTGACGATCAAGCCTAGAACTGGACCTTCATCAACGCATACGATTAATCAACTTCATCAGAAAACATGTGCGATTTTATTCGATCCCTCACGTGTCGTCGACTGATGCACAGCTTCAGGCATCTACATCAGAGGATATCGGGAACCTAACAGGGGCGGAGACTTTTTTCTCTTCAGATGAGTACCTGATCCCACAGATCGAAGATGACCCGCTACTTCGTGCGTATCATTATGTCTCCCTTATTCTTTGTACAATGCTCAGTCATCCAAAGAACTAGAAATGGATGACTGGTCAGACGATGAAGACCTCTCCAGTACTAACCAACGCCCAACACCACCCGCTGATCTACCAAGCGCGCTTCGGCAGATGCAGCTCCTTGAGAGGAAGCTCGCACAGGCTCATCAGGACATGGCAGAATACCGCTCACTCGTTGGTCAACAGTTTGACGCGGGGCGTTTTGCAGAGATTATCAATGAACCGAGTTCTTCATCAGCAGGACCGTCACCGCGAGACGACGACACCCATTATTTCTCCAGTTACTGTGAAAATGGTGCGTAATTTTTCAGGGGTTAACATTTTAATATCTCATATATTGTGAAAAGACATCCATGCTGTTATGATCCAGGACAAAGTTCGCACTTCCACTTACGCGTCGTTCATTCTCACAAACCCCATCCTATTCCGCGATGCTGTCGTACTCGATGTCGGATGCGGTACCGGAATACTCTCCCTCTTCGCCGCCAAGTCAGGGGCAAAGCACGTTTACGCAGTCGATGCAAGCGACATCGCAGAGAAGGCTGAGCAGATCGTCAAAGAAAATGGGCTAGAGAATGTCATCACGTAAGACCACCTGCTAGTTCTCCCCGTCCGCTCTCCATGATTTCTCACGCAAGCCCAGCGTCATTCGTGGAAAAGTTGAAGAGATCTCCCTCCCGGATGATGTCGAGCACGTTGATATCATCATCTCCGAATGGATGGGCTACGCGTTGCTATACGAATCCATGCTCGACTCTGTGCTGCAAGCGCGCGACAGATTCTTGAAACCAGAGAGAGGCGTCATGGCCCCGAGCCAGTGCAGGATCATGTTCGGGCTCTGTGAAGGTAGTGAAATCTTGAAGGAGCGCGTAGGATTCTGGAGTGATGTTTACGGTGTGTATCGTTCTGTTTCATCGTATCGCATGATTCTCAAAATACGTCGCAGGTTTCGATTTGTCGATCATGGCAAACAATGTTTATGAGGACGCCATCGTCGACGTCGTCGGGCCAGAATCAATGGCGAGCGAACCTTATCTCCTCAAAGACCTCCACCTAAAAGACGTCACATCCCGCCAACTTGACTTCACTTCCCAATTCACCCTCGTCTCAACTACCCCAAAACGCACCAAGATTCACGCGTTTGTATTGTACTTTGACACGTTCTTCACGACGACGGGCGAACCAGTTCCTCCTGAAGTGCCCGTCAAGGTGACAAAGGAGGGTGATGTGACACTCGCTGAAGTGTGGCCTGTGGGCGGGAAAGCACCCCCGCAACGCCGTGCAAGCACGGGTCCTGGTCTCAAGCAAAAGGAGGATAGGAGAGTGACGAGCTTCAGCACAGGGCCTTGTAGCCAGCCAACGCACTGGAAGCAAACAATCTTCCTTTTAAGAGATCCGATCCATGCAGAAGACGGTATGTTGTACATCTCCATTTTGAATCTATATAGCTCAGGCTCAAGGAATACAGGCACCATTGTGACAGGGTCATTCTACTGCAAGAAAAGCGCTACTAACTCCCGCGAACTTGATGTGGAGATTCATTATTCTGTGAGACAGAATGCTGAGACAACGGCAGTTGGAGAGACTGTCGTTCAGATATATAAAGTACGATGATATTCGTTGCTTGCTGTAAAATATCGTATACATATTATTGCTGTCTGTAGCCCCAAGTTCGTTGCTGACTAGCACATGATAGTATATCACCTTCGAGTTCGACATTGCGCCCAACTAGACTCTACAGATATGCGATAAATGACTTTTAAATTGGAACTTACATCGAGGAATGATTATGTAAGACCTTACGCCTCTAACAAGGAACGTTCTAGGCTAATTGTCCGAGCTGGACAGCGAGAATAAACCCAAATTATGTAAAACAGGGACTCGGCCGCGAGAGTGGAGTTGTTAATAGTGTTATTTGACATCGGTTGAGTACTTTGCTACCCGTTCTACCTTTTTCCCCGCAAATAGACATGTGATGTTGACGTTTCTGTCTTGCCTCGACCAGACGTTTTGGGCAGTCGCACGAATACTTTCCCAGGCTCGCTAGATGTCGCGGTTTGTCGAAGGGCCTAGCTTGGTACAAAGCCGTGGGCCCGTGGCTGTACTTCTTTTTCTGCCTCAACGCCAGACAGCTCCTTGGGGGTTATCATCATACTGGGTTTTTCACGCGCTACAAGAGCTGGCATGAGAGCATAGCAGGCAAGAGTCTCGCACCATCCTGAGCATGTCCAAGTGGCTTGATTGCTGTAAGTAACATTAGCTCCTGGACCACCTTGTTGTAACACCATTGGTTATAATACCTACTTAGTTCGATCAAAAAGAAATCTTGAAACTTGCCAAACGCCCGAGCTGCTGCAACAAAGTGTTAGCGAACGTATCTGGATTCTGGTGCAATGAAACTCGCCTTTAGCGAAGCCTTCCGCAGAGTTGGTAACATATTCAGACTCATATCAGCGCAGACGGCCAAGGCACGAGTTATACAGTGCCAACTCCAATCTCTATATCGAGTCAGGGTTCCGGGTCGACTCCAGCAACCAGTACTAGTGTGGCTGCTAACATTCTCGCGTCCTACATATAGCCCCCACACTCACCGAATACTGAGTACGAAGCACTCACTATGCAATGTTGAAACTGCCGATCTGCAGGGCCTCACACTCTGGTCCTTTGCTATGTATATGACTTCAAATCTATCACTTAGATTTAACTACTTCGACCTGTCAGCCCCCACATGGACCTCGCACAGATCATGGAAACCACTACCCGAGACCTGACAAACCTTTGTAGACGAAGGGAGATAATACCTACTAATATGAATGAAGTGCGCCTTCAATTTTCAGACCGAGTGTGGACATTCGATCTTCACGAGTGAACTTGAAGATGTCAAAGGAAGCGTTATTGCACTCAAAACACGCCTCCAGATTCACAACGAGTATCTACTTATGGTCCGAGGAAGCATATGTATGTGGTGTTCCTATGCGCAACTTTCTGAATTGATATCTCAGCAACACCATAGACTCAGTCGTCAAGCGATACTTCCAGTGTGAATGCTTTGTTCGGAACGATGATCACTGTCCGATATTTGCGGTTATTTGGACCTTTTGATGTTCTATAACTTGAAGTGTCATAATGATCGTGTTGACACGGCTTCAAAGGTGTCGCAGATTCACGTTGGGAACACATGGCCATACGTACAATTTGATTGGCGCCTAGAGTGAGTATAAGAATAAAGACTCGAGCCCACAACTCTCCAGCACTTCACGATGTCGAACCATCAAGCACCTGTCGAAGCGCTCTTGATGAAATCAATTCTTGGCCAACAGCTTGTGGATACAAAGCTCCACACGTTCTCAAGCCGCTCAGCACATCCACGTAAAGTCATCCGACCTCAAGCCTTGTTCGCCAACGACGTTGTTCTGATAGCACGTTCCGAGTTTTTTGCCGAGCGTAAGCTTTTTCTCTCACGAAGGGTGGTGACCTCGCTCATTAGAGTTGACAGTATTGTCGAGAACGGGATCACCTGACGCCACATTTGTTGACTTCGATGGTGGCTCAGAATTCGAAGATGGAATAACACTCGATGACTACGGATATGCATCTGACAGTGATCTCGAAGATGAAGAAGAGGACAGTAAGTGGTTCAAAGCAATATCGGCAACGTGAATCTTCATACCTTTTGCAAGGAAACATCAGTGAATCAGAAAATGATGAAGACGACGACATACTGGTTTTGGCAGACACTATATCCGAAAATGATGCCTTGACCGGCCCATCAGAAGCAGAAAAGCCTATCGCCCCTACTCTCATTCAACACCAACCACAAGTTGTCAACTACCGGAACATACTCATGCGAGACACGGCCTTCAGGACGTAAGTTCATGTATTCACAATTGTGGCGGGCCTTTGATTTCGTATATACAGATTGAAAGCATTCTTACTGTATCTATATACGAACACAATATCCTTCTCCCCACTCAAGTCCCAGGGACCGCCCGGAACTGATGGGCAGACCCCAAACCCTAGCACTTCGTGGCCTTGCTCACCGAAGTCGATGTATCGTTTAGCCTCCAAGGTTCGAGTAAATTTACCTGGTACTCTCCACGCATCCTAATACACAATTGTCAGGTTCGACTCGACAACCTTCGTGATCGTGCTTTCTATGAGATACGTAATAGGTTGGATGCGAAAAATGTTCTCCAAGAGCTTTCTTCATCATTTACATCCAAGTCAGTCTTTTTTTGATCATGGCATAGCACAGTGTTAACCAGCTTCGCGGTGTCAGGTATCCTGCAATCCTGCAAATGAATGTAGAAGTCCTACTCCAGCATATCGCATCTGTTCCTGTCATCCAGAATATCCCTGCGCTGCTCAGGAGGATTACCGACTCACAATTGCCCCATGGAGCAGACATTATCATTAGTTTGTACCAGAAATTTTTGCTGCAGCACCATCCTCGGGCGCTTGCACTTGCGAATGCGCCGATTGACTTGAAAGGGAAAGGTGGCAAGAAGGGAAAAAAATAGTTCCAGGTGTAAATTGCATTGTATGTATTGTGTCTATGAATATTGCTGTCGCAATAGATTGCTTTCTTCCTTCCGTTGTATGCCTGGGGCCTATGGATTTGAATCAGACTTATGCAAGCTTCAGTGAGCCATTGAAATACGCATTTGTGATCATTGTAGTCATTGACCGATCGCATTCCTCTAGCAATTCTTTCACAAGGATATACAAGTATAGGTAATGCAAGTGTATGCGAGGTAATGCTGTTGACCACAATCCGCGCCAATTATCTAATTTCTTCCGAGGTCAATTCATCCACTCCTTTCCGACCAGAGCATGTTCATGAGACCATCTTCGATGTGTCAAATACCCTTCATCTCATTATGGCATCCGCTGCCAGGAGTTTGGCTCTCCAAGATTTCGTCAAGGATGCAATTATTGAAAAGAAGTTCGTGTGATTTTGGGTACCATTGTGATATATGGCAGTTGTCTTTATACCCATTTTTACTCTTGTCTGATTCTAACGGCTTCGCTGTCGCCGATTTTGATGATTCTATCAGACTTCCTAACTACGCGCATTCAACTGTTCATAATGTTATTCTACAGTTACTCGACATCGGTTGAGTTATTTGCTACTCATTCTACCTTTTCTGACGCAAATAGACATGTGATGTCGATGTATTGGGACTCGGGACGTCGTTGCACGAATACTTGGCTGTAGCCTGTAGCTACATGTGGAGTCTCAGAACCTCCGTCCAGTGCCGAAGGAAGCTGTGGCTGTACTTCTTTTCTGCCTGACCGGGATGATCCTGATTTATGCGGCAAGTCAGAGTCACGTGCGCGTGTTGATGGGAACGCGTCGTCACTGCCTGAGTAGGTCCACAACCGCCCATCAGTCCACATCAGATTGATGGATGGGCTGCCACAATATTTGCGCCACATTTGCCAGGCAGATATAAGGGGAGAGGAAGCGGTCGCTCTTTCTTGTTTTCTTAGTTTCACCAGTCCCATCCACAACACCTAGCGTCATGTCCCCTGCCGGCGAGACAAGCACATCGTTTACTCCACCTCGCGCCAATGCATCAGCTCATGGTGCTAGCAAAATAGAATCCACTCCAAACAGCCGTGGGGCTGCCGTGGTGAGCGAGAACATCGGCCTGGTCGGTGTCAGGTGCGCACCTTTCTTATTTGTATTAAGTAGTACCTAACATTCCATCAAGGGTTAGGGACATCCGTCCATGGATTCGGCGTGACATTGAGCAGGTTAAGCAATGCAAGGCAGACGCAATGCTACAAGCCCTCCTGCAGCGGGCTTCTTGCGCTTTGGAGACTAAACAGCCTGAGCTCCTGCAAAAGTGCCTAAAGGCAGTTCTTCCGGTTTGCAATGGACAGGTCTCCGCTAGAGGCATACACTCTTTGGGTATTGAGACAGCCCTGAAAAATTAGTGAGCGTCCCCTTGCTGATCGGACGTTTTCCTGCTCACAATGATTGTAAGCGCTGGTCCAGGAGCAGAAAACAACTTCTACGGCCCCTTTATAGAAGCCACCAACATCGCGCTCGCTTGTCTTGAGGAGATCAAGGTTGACGGGATGCGGGCTCCTGTCCCCGCTGTAGACATGATCTGTCAGCAGAACGACATGATCTGTCAGCAGAACGACATGCCCATGTATCAAAACCACCAGGACGTGAAATCAATTCGGAAACCCGACTGCGTCATTCTTCCTTTGAAGAGCGCATGTGCTCCTTTCGAGGATGAGAAGGGCGGCAAACAGGGCAAACAGAAGCGCAAGGCTCACATGATGAAGAATGCGCTGTCCAAGCCGCCAGCGTCACTCCCCTGGGAAGATATTCTAGCTTGCATCGAGTTCAAGAGAAAGACGGCAGGGAGGAAGCCAGGGATTCAACCGCTGCCGCCCTCTTCGTATCATATTAAAGACTATGTTCCTACCAAACCAGAGTATTTGCCGGTGGATCATCTCAAGGCTGAAGATCCGGCGGGAGGTCCTACGCAGACCCCAGCAACCCAAACGCCCGACACTGCACGTAAGTGATTGTATTATTGATTACAAGATCAAACTAACTCGGCCGAGCAGCAGTTCTATCTTCCGGCCTGAATGCTGCCCAGTCTTCCCAGGGCGGGTCTAGTTCCAAGCGTAAGGCCACGGACACTTTGCAATCCGCCGCGAAAAAACCCAGGGGCGTTTCCGAAGAGCCTGATGTGACTGTCCAGACAGGTCTGTATGCTGCTGAAATGTTTGCGGCCAATCTTGCCGTCAGTTATCTAATCAATCTTATCGTCGTCGGTGGGTTCGCTCGGCTGTCGAGATCAGTCTCGTTCTTACCACAGCTTTTTAGACGATGTTGTATGGATCTGGTATTATGATCGCCAGGGCATTATCCAAAGCTCAGGCATCAACTTCATTCAAGATCTCCCGCGATTCATGGTGTTATTGTACGCTTTACAACGCTTTGAGCTCCACGATTGGGGCCGAAACAAGGACTTCCTCCCAGTTCAAGTTGAGAGGAAAAAATGCTACGAATTCAAGATCAAAGATGAAGAACTTGGAGAGGTGGATCTGCTGCTTCACACCAGCCACAACGATAGAGTGACGCATTACGGACTACAAGGCCGAGCCACCAATGTGATCCCTGTCACTAGCGAAGCGCTTGCCAAGAAATACGACAACCTCCCGGATGGGATGGTGGCCAAGGTCTTTTGGGGAGAGGCGAATCGCACTAGCGAGCCAGAAATTCTGAAAAGAGTCGAAGAGATCGCTGAGGCGCACGATACCGTAAAAAACCATATTCCCGAGCTGCTCTGGCACCACACGTTCACAAATCCCACGTCCGCCATCCGAGAAGCGCTCGGCGTTCCGGAACCCACCACGGGCAGTCGCATACTCTACATTCTCGTATTCCGCAAACTTCAACCCATCACGAAGCTTCACGGCAAAGAACTTTTCAACGTCTGGCAGCAGTGTGTCCTATGTACGTGTTCGATTGAATTTATGTTGCTCTTCGTTGACATAGTGTGCAGGCCACCTCACTTTATGGAAAGAAGGGGTCTATCATCGAGATATCAGCCCTGGAAACTTGATGTGGTACAAGAAAAACGACAAATTGATTGGTGTCTTAAACGACTACGATCTATCCTCGTTGGCGAATGTCATTGGCCCTCAGGGCAACGAGCGTACGGGGACGGTACCATTCATGGCACTCGACCTCCTAACTGAAAAGGCTCAACGAGGCGAAGTCAAACATTTATATCGCCACGATCTGGAGTCGTTTATGTGGGTTTTTATCTGGATTTGCTTGCGTTATGGGGAGGGAGTCATTCTACCAGTGGAAACGCGCCCCTTGGATGATTGGGTGAGATTTGACGCTGTGATGTGCGGGACGATGAAATATTATTTCTTGGGCCACCCACCAGACCGCCCTTCGCACATAGACCCGCGTATATGGCGTTTCCTTGTGCAGTGTGTCATTGTGCTCAAAAAAGATACCGACCATCGAATTAGTCTCCGCCTCGAGAAGCTAATAACGATGGCACCAGGCAATGATGAGGAATTAGAAGATATCGATGGTTCTTTACGCATGTTTACAAACACGACGGGCTGGGTTGAGCTCTCTGAGCTCAGCAACCTTTTACAATGATTTATGTACATATACATGGTCGTTTAGCATTGTACTCCTGCGTCAATCCCACGATGACACAATCACAAATTTATGCTTCGCCCAACCACTTGCAGAGATACCACTTGTATCAAGGAATTATTAATTGGTTGCAGAATCAAAGTGACCTTTGATATAGAAAGAAAAAACACGTGCAAAGACGAGGTCATGCAAGGCCCGGGATGCAGTAACCGAGAGATAATGTGACCGTGGCCGTTATAGCCTTTTGGAATCCGAGTAGTCCGTCGCGACAGTCCGCCAGGCGCCTTACATTGATCTCCACGCTCGCGCACCTTAGCACACCAAGAGTACTAGGCATGACTGAATACCTGACACGTAGACCTAGAGAAGAGTGCCAGTCACAAGCACGTTTCTACAGTGTTCAACTCAATCATTGAGGTCCAAATATTCACATTTCGCTGTGGTCACTGCTGGCAACAATTCTGCCTAATCTGAAACATCGACGGTCATCTCGACCCCCCCTTTTCTCCCTGACTGATTCTATCTCCACATTACTAGAGGACTATGGGAAAGATCTCGGTGACCCTTCCCCAAATTCTGCTAAGAGTTTGCGAGAGTTGAAGACAAACTTCATTGACTCGCACCAAAGATGATTCTGGAAAAATTTCAATGACTCGGTCATACCGTAACTGTCTAACGGAAGAGATGTTCTCCGCAGTAGACTTCTTGGCCACTTTACCTGCTTATAACGTCTATGTTAATTGTCCTCACAAGTACTCGAGCTATATTTCTACTGAAGTTACTGATAAGGTTCTTAGTTCGCGCAGGAACCATCATTGTACAAATCCTCCCTAATACATCGATGGTGCGCACAGTGCTCGATTCTGACGCTCCAGTAGTCGGGTGCTCTGTTCATGTCGTTCTGAATGTTCAAAGATAAGGCGTCAGGAATTGACAAACCCGATCCAGCCAGCTTTCAATTGATTATATTTCAGCAATTCCCGCAAGGCCGCGATATCTGACTGACTGCTCCACATAATTGGACTCTGTCTGTGCACCTGCAGTGGGTATTTAAATACCACTCCTACCACACGATGGAACGCCAGGTCATTTCTAATCTCTCGCTGCTCTGTGATCTACTTCAACAATGAACACTGTCGAATACCACTATCCCGTGATTGGCCGCAAGGGCACTGGAGGCGTATTTGATCGATTGCCTATCGAGACGCTGGAGAAGGACCATCCTTATCAATTTGCATTGTTCATCCTTGCCTTTGCCGCAATTCAGCAGCGTCCCGACGCTCTCCAAGTTGGCATGGAAGAGCCTGCGGGCACGTTCATGGAAATTGCGTCGATTCACGGAAGGCCTTTCATTGAATGGGCAGGTGACCGCAACAATGACACCTCAACTGACTACAGCGCCACTGACAAGAAAGATACCGATCCCGTCCCTGCCAGATTCGGAGGTATTTGGTCCTTTCCCTCGCAGCTTTCCGTAGCCTGACAATGCTGCTTGTGACAGGTTATTGCAAGTAAGCTAGCATGCACTCTTTCGCTCTGTCGATTTTGAGACCTTTATTCAGCCATGGTGCCGTTGTTTTTCCTACTTGGCACCGTCCATATGTCATGCTTATTGAGGTATACGAACCCAATGACTATGACTGGCATGTTGCTCAATTGCTTTGTAGCAATCCATCGGAAACATCGCCGACCAATTGGCCCACGACATCGAAGCTAAAAACCCACATGAATGTGGAATGTGGGTCAAGGCTGCCAAGGAACTGCGTTTTCCGTACGCATCAAGTCATTTCCGACACTTATTTAGATGATCATATTTCGCACAGATACTGGGGTTGGGCCGAGAAGGATGTTTCTGAGAATGGCCTTCCTCCTGTTCTGTATGAAGATAAAGTGGAAATCATGGCCGCTGGAGGTCAAAAACAAATCATTGACAATCCTCTCTCGTTTTTCTCGTTCGTCGATGGGATCCCATCGGACTTCGGCGATGAGATGCTCAGGGTATGCTGTTTTTACTTTTTCATAACGCAGAACTTGCTCAAATGTGGTTGGTAGACGGGACAAGTGGCATACTTCTCCAAGTGGCACAGGACATACCGCTATGCTGTTAGTACTGCGAATCCAGAAGGTAGTAACGTAGACCAGTTGCAAAAGCAAGTATTGATCGAGACATGTTACGCGAGGCAGGAACTGATTTAGACTTTATAAGGGCGTTCAAAGCCGGGGCAAAGGATCTCAGAAACAAAGTCGCTCAGCTCTTTGTAGTAAATGATAACGAAGATTCTGCATTAGCGTATGTCTTAGCTCCTGCTAGTCTTTTGCACCGACTGACATCTTGATAGCTGGGATGAATTTTCCAATCATACGATGCAATCGAAGAGAGAAATGGATAATTACAATTTCGGGTCACTTGAAGGAGTCCACGATGCTGTTCATACATTGGGTGTAGGCGACATCCATTTGTTTCAATCTTTGAAATATGCTTACTGCAGCAATGACTTAGGGTGGAACCGGACACATGATTAGTTGTAAATACTTGCGTGCAAACGATACTGTTGATCTTCATTAAACACTTGCAGAGCGCCCCAGACTACGTGAGTAACTCCTCTGACTCACCACAATGATGCTGACCTCTCTTCAAATAGGCCGCCTTCGATCCTTTGTTCTTCCGTACGTGATTAGGTGCAAGTTACTTACATGCATCACTTACATGGATTTATTCCTCTCCAGTTCACCATTCGAATGTGGACAGACTGTATGTGCGATTTGGTTTAAGGATATTTTCTCGTGACTGAATCCCCCAAGTGGCTCTATGGGAGTGGTGCTACACCGAGTACTGGATGGAAAGCGGGTATGAAATCAAAGGGCAATCATACCCTTGGGCACAGGTATTGGGTTGGACGATGTTCCGACGCAAGTACTCAGTCGTTGTCTTTTAGCAACTCGGTACATATGCGCAAGTTTACAACGCACAGCTCCTTCCAGACGGGCCACTCCAACCATTCCGAACGGAACAAGGAGACTACTGGACCTCTTCTCAAGCTCGATTTTTGCATGCAGACGCCTACCCCAAGTGTACGTAGCAATCTTGTCTATGGGATGACACAAACTTACCTGAGTCAGATTATTCGTATCCCGAGTTGGCAGGCGTTAAAGTTAATCAAGCTCCCATGTCATCCGACGAGCGTGCTTTGGCGCGTAAGAAAATTGCGGCCTACTACGGGTTTGATCCACAGACCACGGCGCAACAAGTGGCGGCGCCCGCTTGGACGCAACTTCCTGTTCCAGACAACAACCATCCTGCCGTGCCAGCCGACCACGCCGTTATTCCTGAATATCGCACATTTGCTGTGCATGTGAAACTTCTGGAGCATGCTTTCAATGGCTCCTACTCATTCCAGCTCTACCATAAAGGAAATGATAATTCGGCTTCGCAGCTCATAGGTACTGTCGCAGTCTTTGCACGGCCAGACCATTCCCCCTGTAAAGCGTGTACTCTGCGTCGTGAGGCAGGAACTGTGATTCACGGCGTTATCCCCATTCCTCCCGCATTGATCGAGAGTATCATGAAATCAAACGCCGACGGCGAAACGGTGGCTACATTCGATCAGACGCTCGCTCACATCAAGGGGGAGTTCGTTGGAAAGATTGTGGATGCTACTGGTTCAGAGCTTGCCAGGGCTGAGGGAGGCCTGGAGGCCCCCCAGGTACCAGGCCACCAAACCACTTCTCGCAATGTTACTCCTCTAGAAATCTCTCTGGTGTCGACTGCTGTTGCTGAACACGGAGAGGACAAGGATCGTCCTGTTTACATATGCGACTGGCAGCACCACGATGGTATCTTCGGCGTAAGCCTGAGTTTATCCTTCTTAGGTTGCGTAATTTTCTAAAGATGACTTTTTTCTACAGGGCGGATGGCAGGCGACTCACCCTGCTGCGGCATGATGCAGTATAGTCGGCAGCTTTGGGTCTTATTCGCAAAAACTGTGAAAGAATGGCTGCGGCCAAATAAGTTTCTACATCTTGTACTACTCTCGTGAGCTATATAGATTCTGTCGCGACTCGCGCGTGTTGTTGTATAGTGCTCGTGTTTGAGTCCAATTGTATTGGTAGTTCATCACAGGACACATCATATACAATCTCATTGTCATGAGATATCTCTCTGTGCTTAACCCTCATCATCTGTGCTCATATGAGACTAAGTGCTGAGACATTGATATAGTTACAAGTTCAGATCGTTTAATAATACATTTCCTTCAAGCGCTGATTGACATATTCTCCGGCTGATACGGGCCCATACCTCGCGGGTCGCTCAGCAGATACACAACTTGCAATAGGCTGCTCAACCATCTCAATTGTCGAGTATTCGGCCAATAAATAAGCACGAACCTCGATGTTAACATCATAATCAGTGCCAAAGAATAGGGGGATAGAATAACGGTCAACGCCATTCCTATTGACAGCCCTGTGGACCGTAGACTTGAAAATATCATCTGAAAATTGGAAGCTGAGATGTAGTCATGGCGTAGTGCGACAAACGTACTTGTCCACCTAGCGAATTGGTCACCCAGGCTTATACAAGACAATCAGCCATTGAAACCGAATTTAGAAGCAAATAAGATCACTTAATGACCAGTGTTCCGTCAATGGGTGGGGCTTTGATCCACTGCTTCTGGGAATTCAGCACCTGCAGCGCTTGAATTCCTGGCTGTTGCCAGAGTATCGTGAAACACTGCAACACAATCGATGAGAGTTATGGTAGAGTTCTGAGGTAAGTGAATCCCACCTCAAAGCTAAATGTGTGCAAGACATCAACATGGTTAAAGAAAAAGTTAGCAACGAATCACACACTCCGTGTGGGCACCGATGCCGACGATACGGTCGTCTGCAAGACCTGTCTGTGGGGGGTAGTGCAATGCGTTCATAATGGCAGCCGAGTTCTTCGTCTACAAAACATTCAATGAATGTCCGAAGATCACATAACATTCATTACAACGACACTGCACCTTGTCATCAAAATATCTCTCTGGCAAATCCAAAGATAGTGCAAACAGTGGGAAAAGTATCCTTCCCACAGCTACTGCCGCATGGCTAACGAAACTATAAGTTGATATCATGATATCACCCAACAAGGCAGAAGCACTCACTAGTATTTCAACATGCCTTCTCTATACTTTTCAGGATGTTCGGGCCAAACATTAGCGCCCGCCATGGCACCATCATTTGCACGCTTCTCATCATGGGCCCTTGCCTCGAGCTCCTCCCAACCGATTTGGAACGCCTCGTGCAGGTCGCCGCTGTTCCCGGGTTCAATATTGGCATCGAGTAGTGGTGTGTACCCTTTGAAGTTGGCGACGATCTTGTGGTTGAGCTATACAAAAACGCTGTCGATTAGTAATTCGAACAGAGGTGAAAGCACAATCGACACCTTCAGCTTTTCCTCCGTTGGAAGCTTGAAGTACTCTTTGTTGGCTTCAAGGACATTGTCTATACATTCCTGTGGTATCCCATGGTTCTTGACTGCCAATAAATGCAAAGTCAGCGTGACGTTACAGAAGGATTGAAAGATTCTATCATGATGTGTCTACAGATGACTTACCATAGAAAAACCCTACATTCATACATGCATCGCGTATCTGATACGCAAGCGCTTTCCTCTCGTTCTCATCCGGACTCGCTGCACGGGAAAGATCGCTGCAATGAAGTCAGCAAAGTCGTTCTTGGTAAGTGAACTTGACCAATGAACAGACATTACGGGTATGTCTTGAAAAGCGCCATCGATAATGGACGCCGACTCTGCTAAAGACATGACCGTCGATGAAGAAGGCGGGAAGGAAGAAGACACAAGTGTTTCCCCTCAATGTTCCGAACAAGATAAGATAAATATTTAAGTTGCATCCGAAATCTGCATCCGAAATCATCTCCAATAATACCAACTACAATTTACTTGTTATTATACATGGCTTTCAATCGTTGCTTCACATATTCTCCAGCAGTGATGGCCGGATATGCCGCTGGTTTTTCTGCTGTCACGCAGGTGTAGATTGGCTGTGATGTATCGAATGAGGCCCATCAGATAGTATAAACAATGTTAGTTGACTAGCCTCAATGTTAACCTCGTAGTCAGTGCCGAAGAATAGTGCGATGGAATACCGATCAACAATGTTCTTGTTCATGGCTCGATGCACGGTAGACTTGAAAATGTCGTCTGTACAACGTGGTTGGCTCTCTGTGTAAATCACCAAGGGCAGTGCATCTACGCACTTGTCCAACGCGCAAACTGATCTCCAAGACTGATAGTCCAGTGTTGGTGATTAGATCAAGAAAAACTGAATAGGAACCACGCGAAATATCCGTACTTGATGACAAGGGTTCCTGCTAGCGGTGGTACGTTGATCCATTGTTCACGAGAGTTCAAAACTTGGAGAGCCTCGAGGCCTATTTGTTGCCAGAGAATCGTGAAACACTGCCCATGGTTCAGTATATTACGAGCTCAGACATTTGGACTCACCACAAAACTGATAAACCCGAATGGCGTCGAGATCATGCATAGACAGGATGACTTCGAAACAACTTACTCGGTGTGAGCTCCGATTCCCAGTATTTTGTCGTCTGGAGCATCTGGCTGAGGCGGATAGTGGAGGGTACGCATGGTAGCGGCCGAATACATGGTCTATTTAAATAAACTATGAACCTGTGCTTCACACACTAGATCGTGTAAACACCTACCTTGTCGTTGAAGTACGTTTCGGGCAGGTCGAGCGCCAGCGCAAAGAGGCAAAACAACTTCTTTCCGACAGTAAGGGCACCATGACTGTAAGAATGCATCGTGAGTTTCCGATGAATCGAAAAGCGATTATCAACTCGACTAATAATCCATGCAAGCGGTCCTAAAATCTTTAGGTGTATCCGGCCAGACATTCGCACCTGCCATCACGCCATCGCGAGAAGCATTTTCCACTACCGGATCCTCATATTTCTCTTCCCACCCGATGCGGAAACCTTCATGTAAGTCACCTTTGTTGCCTGGCTGGATGTTTGCTTCCAATGGAGGGCTATAGCCTTTAAAATTTGGTACAGTCTTATGATGAAGCTAGTCATGGATCATGATGCTTTATTCTGTCAGTCAAGTGCAGCATTTGGATACACACTTTCATCTTTTCCTCGGTTGGAAGCGAGTAGTACTCCTTGTTCACTCTCAAGACTTCGTCAAGACAGTGCTGTGCTATGCCATGGTTCTTGACTGAAGTTCACGTCATAACATGTGAGATTAAAGATAGACAGATACTGAGCTGGACGTACCATAAAAGAATCCAACATCCATACACGCCATTCGAATTTGTTGTGCCAGGGCACGTCGTAGAGCTTCGTCTTCATTAAACGCATCCTCCAGATCACTGAGATTCGAAAGTATAAACGCCATCAAATTTTCAGACAAATACGACGGAAGCCACCGTACATGATTGGAATACTTTCGAATGCTCCATCACGTACAGGCTCGCAAGACATGGTCCAAGATTAGAGTTCCTGGCCACAGTAGTAGCACTGAGTACTGCCAGTGACTGACTCGGAGTAACTGACTCAAAACTCGGCATTGTAATATTGAGTTGGCAACTGTTATGTAATGTCGGCTATTATTACGTAATAGCAGATTTCAGAAATTTCTGTCCCTTTGCCCACCAAGCCTGATAAACTGGCCTTCTACTTATGATCTCCTGGCGTTTTGCAACTGCGAATGTCTTCCACTGAAAACTCGCTGATTGGCTCTGTATTTGAACGCAAGACATCTACAGCCCAGAGCCTACCCTCTCCAAGATTCGCAAAAACTCCTGGCTCAGGTTTTCCAGCTGTCCAGCACAGGTCAAAGAGCGCATTTGCTCGCGCCAAAGAAGAGGAAAAGAGCAGTAGCAATGCCAGGCACACAACTGTACCTCTCGTAAACCCTGCGAGTCCCGCCAAACAACCTCGATCTCGAGACCTTGAGGTGGATTCACACACAGCCGATGATGCTATGCGTCAACAGATTAGTGACGAAAACGAGCGCCGAGTGGCTAATATGACTGAAGAGGAGCGAGAACAAGAGAGATGCGAGGTTTTAGAGCAACTGGGAAGTGGTGCAGCGGACCTTCTGGAGCGTGTACGCGCTGCAAGATCAAGAAATACAACGAAGGCTCCCGCTATATCTGAGGGTATACTTGTACCAAATGAGCAGGCTCCCGAAGCTTCCCGCGAAATTCCGATCGTTTCTTCCCTACCTGGTTTTACCACCGGACGCAACCTTTCAAGGGTCAAGAGTCTGGAAGATTTCGGGAAAAGAGGCATGTCACTCCCCGGGTTTAACGGGTATTTTAACACGAAGGCTGCATCTTAGCTCCTCCAATCCTGGTGAAAAGCAGTACTAGACCTTCGTCACCCAATAAAGCTAGTCGTCAACTTCGCTTTGCGGCATTGACGCCTGGTGATGTCTACGTGTATGAGTCTGCACCAGTGTCTCCCAAACGAAAGGCCATTGCGCTCCCTCCGCCTCCAGATGTTCCAGACCCATCGATTGTCTCTCTGGGTACCTTTAAAGAGAATGGTTTGCCGCGTAAGCGACCACTTTCTCCTGCAAGCCCCAAGGGTGACGACAGGGCCTGCGCAGAAGATTACGGATGATAGATCAGAGCCCGAGGAAGGCACTCCAGAATATATTCGGAGACGATATTTCCCGAATATGCCTGCAGACAACCCATCCATGTCTTGGATGAAACCTTCGTCGTTCATTTCGGAGCCGGTTTTGCTTCGCTTCGATCTGACGGGTGCTCCTATACCTGCAGAAATCTCTGCTGCTCTGCCATCTCATCTTGGCTTGCATCACCATGCAGATGGAGATCACGCAGGGTACACTCTTGATGATATATTTTTGCTGTCTCGCTCCACTGTCCCTGCGCAACGCACCATGATGCTTAATATCTTAGTTGGCATTGCGCGCCGGTTGGGCATGCAAGCGAGGGACCCCAACTACGCAGACAGGATTTCGGAACTTCAGGGGAAGGAGGAGGAACTACGAAAACGTATTCTCGCCGCCGGCCTCTCCGCAATGAACGAGAAGGGTGGCGTCGGTGTCCGGGCCATTGAGGTTGTCCGGGAGTGTATCGTCGACTGGGACGCAGTGTTTGACGCTGAGCATGCCGAGTTAGATCTCGCTCCTGCCATCATGTCCGTTTTGCAAGTGCCCGACTTCCTCACTCAAGCCACAGAAATCTTCACGCAAGCATCATTGCCCCCTGAATCCCTGGCTCAACTTCTGTCCATTGTCTTTCGGTTATCGCAGGAGTCGAATACTATTGCTGATTCAATCTTAAAGACCCCTCGATTGCTCCCCGCCCTAGTACAGACATTCCTTCTTACGCCTATACCGCCCCCATCAGACACACCCCTGCCTAACCCTGTCGCTCTCCAGTGCCTCACTGTCCTTGCGTCATCCTCTCGGACTAACGCTATGGCACTATGTGAGCCAGCCGATGCCCTTCTCCGTTTTATTACCATGCTGCCTCCTACTTCGCCCTTCCCCGAGTCTCTTGCCGCACATCTTCTCATAGAAACCCTCCGCCTATATGCCACTCTTGCCTCCTACGGTCTATATTCGCATATAGCGACATCTGCCGCTTCCTACTTTGCTTCCTTGTTCACCTATATCGTCTCATCCAAGTCGAAACCGCTGAAAGTGGCATGGGCAGGACTTGTGGAAGCATGGATAGTCTGCGCAACGGATCCGCATCACACGACTCCACCGCATGATATCTTGTGGAGCCAGGTGACTAGCTGGGGGTGGGGTGCCGAGGTGCTTCAGCTTCGCCAGGGAATAACGGAAGAGGAAGGAGAAGTATGGGCAGCCATCTGGAGTGCTTCATCTGCATGGCTCGAGGGTGCTCAGGTCAACGGCATAAGGGGAGGAGAGGGAGAACGTGCAGAGACTCTCAACACAATCCAGGACGGCTTTAGCAAAGGAGTTGAACATAGCGTAGTAACAGCTTCCCTAGAGGCTTTACGCGCTGAACTCGCACAGATACACGACACGCCACTACCAGAGCGACACCGAACGTTTGCAGCGCATTGGTATGCATGCGCGCGTGCTTTCCTCTGTAGTCCGCCTCTGGCTTGCATGTATGCCTGTCACAAATACCGACGCAAACGCTGCCTCTCCGCTTGGTGCCCCGCCGTTTAACCTTCCTTTCACCGAGCTATCGTCCTTCTGTGCCTCTGTCGTCTCGCATTCCCTTTGGTCGCTTGTTACGGGTGTCGAGCGAGCTGCCTGCAAGCACCTGGCAACATTTTTGGCGTATTTCCATAGGTTATCTCGACATATCCCAGGGACCTCACCTGACCTCTGGGTTGCGCAGGGTGTGGCAATTCTCGAAAGGCAGCTCCCTGGAGAAGAAGAGCACGCTTTTCAGATCCTTGGGGCTATTTTAGGAATCCTCACGCCACAGTTCCTCGGCGCAATGGCACACCCTAGCATTTGGGAGAAGGGCGGATGGAGCGTCATCAAGCCTTTTCTGGACTACACAATTCGCCCGAACCGGGAAGTATACATTGCCCCCAGCGATGTCACACCAGAGTCGATCATGCGGTGTACAACTCTTCGCCTTCCATCGTCCAGCTCCTTATCATCTGTCCCTGACGAGCATCGCCCAACTGGCCTTCCGTTACCTCATTTGTGGCTTACTTCACCAATTGACCATCTTCTTCGGTCTGGGTCTTCGCCCGTTTTCAAGGCACTTCCCTCGTCGTGGGATGCATCCGAAGTTGACGTCGTTCGCGCGTCGCTGCTGTTTATCAAAGCCACGCAAGAAATTGTGGTACGATATAGCTTAAACCAGTTCGCCCTGAAGCGTTCAGAGATGGTTTTTGCTTGTATGAAAGTGTTCATGCTCGAACACGGCCAACAGCAGGAATATCCCTCACCGGCAACAGGAGACGAAGAAGAAGTGTTCCGAGACCTCATTGTTTCGAAATTATTGTCTGACCTCCTGGCACCGTTCACCCTCAGTGCTGCTTCTGCTTCGTCGCCCTCATCCAAATTGCCTGATATTGACCTAGAGCAGGCCTCTCTGCCATTCCTCGGATCGGGCACACCTTTTTACCAATTTTACACAGACTTCCTGGCACTATACGACGCTATCTCTTTCTCACACCCAACCTTCGCATCCCTTCTCCTTCCACCTCTCGCGCTAACCTATCCCATCGACTATCGTCGGATACTATGGGCAGGACTTTGCGCATGTGCTGCGTACTGTACGTACCCTGTGGATCAGGTCATCGCAGGGGATCTCAGAGATTTCCTGTACCCGATCGAAAAAGGCGAAATGATCGGAAAATACGCCTGGTGCGCTTCTCCAAGGATCAGTGGATGGATTACTGCGCCTTGTTGCGGTACACCACGTGGCATGCAATATCTGGCCTGATCTTCGGTCCGAGGAAGTTGGGGCTGAGCAAGAGGATGCGGCCAAGATGCTGTTGAAGATGTTGGTCGAGAAAGGAGATGGACGCGTTGTGCGTGAGGTGCTGAGATATCGACAGGTTCGTGAAGAAACGGTTGTTTATCCCCCTGCTTGTTTTGAAACAAGTGGGGAATGGATAGCAGACCGAGCAGAATTTGCCCGGCAGGCGTTGGGCAGCGAGTTGCATGCGAGACTTGAGGGTGTATTTTATGGTTAGTGTGAGTTCTTTGACGTGTATACATTGCTGTTGCATATTCTAACAATCAGATAGAATATTGAATGTTCAAATGAGATATATGAATTACATGCGGGTGTCCGTGTAATATTTATCACACAGCAAGATGTATTGCATACCACCTTTGGGGATTCCTGATGTAGACGATGGTGATAAAATGAATCGGAATCATTGCTTGGGAAGAATGTTCGTCGTGAGATTTCGAGGTCAACGCACGAGAACAACACAAGGTGTAACACTCGCTCCTTGATGATCATGATGAGCACTACCGCACTGAGCCCACCCCTTCGAACTTCCAAATTCAAAGATGTAATGTCAAATGATGACTTTTCCGAATGCCGAGGTGAGCATGCTGTGCAGCGGGCTGTGCATGTGACGGCTTCATGTGATGTCTAACCATGCACAAGTACTTCGGAGACACTGCACATCCAGACGGCGTATGATATCGCGGGTAGGCTAGCCCGCATCTCAAGCTGAAGACGGTCGGCGTGATTCGTAATAGCTGAGTTTTTCTTCTTCTTAATTGAGTTCATTGTCCTTTAGGGTTGAAGGCCCTACGTTGGACATGGTCTCATTCGTGAGGGGCTTACTCTCGGTTAAACCTGTTTAACCATTGCAAGTTAGATCGATTCGCGACGCTGGGCTGCCGTGTCATGCATGTCATGTACTGCTGTCTCTTGATACGCAATAACACGCCCCTGAGCAAACTGAAGGGCTCCGCTTGCCTTACTATCACCGTGAGATCTTGGCGTAATCAATCGTTATAGCTCTAGTTTAGTTACCGTGTTCCTGGATCTGATTATATTCCAGCGTCAGTCAGAAGGCACAGGATAATGAAACAGATTCCAACTAGGTTGTGCAGTGTCCATTACAGATTGAACGGGCCATCTCCAAGTCGTGTGCGCAGGGGGCTTAGTTTGATTGATTATACTAGTTATAAGCATATGATGATCATAGATTTATATAAGATGTAGTGTACTAGTACTGAGTCCTTGGTAGGCTTAGCTCAAGTACCAAGCGAAGTCCTTATGAAAATCGTCGTAGATCCTGAGACATAAAGCAATCTATTTTTGGTAACCGGGATAAGCCGAGATCAGGTTGACCAGAGGATCTGATCATCGTTATTCAACGTCAACATCAACGTCAATGAGTAAGATGCGCGCAATTCGAAGGGACTCTCTATAGCCCCATCTTGATGGGTTCGCCGTTCATGCTCATAAGAGATGAGAAAGTTCATGAGTCTGAGGTGTGCACGAAAGCCCAGTTTCCCTCTCGAACGAATGCAGATGGACTCTTACTATTCAGCTGATGATGTTGCAACGGCGAAGGAACTGCAATTCTTAGCAGTGCGTCACTTTCTTGCTGATGTGAGAAGGGTAATACAACAACAGATTCTATCACGATATGCTACCAGTACACATCCGGTGCGTGCTACCGTCTGAACTCTTCTTGGTTTGCTGTTCTAACTTGACAGCTCAGTGTCGATGGCTACATTCTGGGTAGGGTTTCCCAAACTATTCCCATCCGCTGCTAGACTTCCTTATCCAGATCTATGATTATGCTTGTTCATTTCACGAAGAGGTGATGCACTAGTTCGTACATGTTTCGAATTATTATATACTGATCATACTATGCTTGAATTCAAAGTTGACGTTCCTGCTTCAATCGCGCTGGACCAAGGTCAAAGGCCTCTATGTTATTGCACGATATCTCCCCTTTCTCTTCCTCATCGTGTACCAGTATTGTACGTTCAACTCTAGTACACATCTCACTGATTATGAGTTGACCTACTGCGCTTCAGCGTACCTCGCACCGAATGAAAATCTAAATGTATGTGAACGTGCAGTGAACTTGCCCCAGCGATGATTGCTCATCGTCTCTTACAGACATGCCGGATGATGGTGAGCGTCAAATCCTGTACGTGCACGGTACACGCTGCATGCACATTCTTACCGAACGCTTCTCTGTCCTCTCACAGGTTTATGCGTCATATCGCTCGCTTGTTCCGGATGTATGTCTCCTTTCCCTGACATATACACGTGCTCCTTATCCGATTCATCCAGTCTTGTTTTTGCTCAGAACATATGCGCTCTGGAACAATAATGGAATTGTACTCGCAGCCATGTTGTCCGCCTTGTTTGTGAGTCCCTTCAGTATCACATCACTTCAGGCTCGTTTTAGATGCAGTACAGGTTGTGGCAGTTGCGTTCATCATCGTTGATGTTGTCACTGTCGAGGTCTCACATGGTTTGCGCCTACCTCTTACCACTATTTGTGCATATTCACTGCACTTTCGCAGTTGCGATCAACACGATGCAAGGCATCCGAGGCTGCTACCAGACCCCATCCAGTGTTCAGGCTGGCACAATATTTGTTCTCTTGTTTGGGTTTCAACTAGGTTTGTCACCGGAAACCGGAAGCATGCGCGCTGATTGATGTTCTCCTCAGGAATCGCCTTCCTCACAATCATACGTGCCGTACAGAGGTGGCGGGCGGTCAATTGCCCTCTGTACGATGTCCTAGTGAAGCATAACATATTTTACTATACATGCGGTCTGCGTAAGTTAGGACGCATGTTTCCATGCTCACCGAATGATGGTTCTTTTTCCGATAGTCCTCTCAGCCATCAGCATCCTAACGCAGATGTTGTTGCCGAAAGTGCGTGAAACCCAATTACCCTTCAATATGATCGAGTGAATGATTTTCTGCACACCCAGACTGCATACCCCATTGTCTGCAAAGTGTATGTACCTGCTTGCGAATTCCTATCACAACACCAATCACGCCTACAGTTTCGAATTCTATTTCCTCGCGATCTTGGCCACGCGCATGCACCTCTTTCTCTGGCAGACCGACCGGCAGACGCGCGGCTCTGACACCCTCGTACATATTCCCATGTCCGACGTGTTACCTGCAGACTCTACGGTTACTACAGTGTGATGTCTCATCGCACGGTTTATTCGGCGTCGTTCGTGGAGTGAGGCTTGAACTGAACGAGAACGAGATGATCGTGGGGTGGGTTGGGTTGGGTCGAGATGCGCTTAAGTTATAGGACTGCATTTTTTTGTCGTACACAGGCGGGAGGTACATTTGGATGGACTTGTCTATTTATCATCCATGGGTACTGCGAGCAGATAACAATCAGAATTTAGGATTCAAACGTGCTGGACTCGCCAGAAGCACGGCATGATGGCAATGTTATGTAATGAAAATGACTTTAGCACATCAAGACTCTAAAACCTCACCGGGACCCTTTTTTTCCGAACCGAAAGGGAATATGGCGTCTTCGTGCGCTGGTCATATATTCCAACGTGACGAAATCCTTTTGAGTCCCTGGTGCCGCGGTGTGAAGTTCAGAATGCGGTGAGCAGCACTGTAATACTGTGTGGTGCGAGTTTTATTGGTCTAATGATAGCTCCAGAAGTTCCAGAACACGTGTATTTTTTTTTATCGCAAGTTGTTTTCACTTGCTTTTTGAGGAAAACTCAAGGTTTGCAAGCAGGTGGTGTGGCGGTGTCGTGTTTGAGCCGCGCTGATCGTTACCACGGAATCTTGGCGCAAATCTTTCGTTTGGATAATCCTTCCAGCACGAAGATGCCAAATTGCCAACGTTGCTGGTACAGCTAGTTTTTCGGCAGAATAGGAACGGGGCTAGCGTGATGCCAATGCTTGAATATATGGGACATTTGCATACGGGATCACAACATCGCCGAGTCTTGCCCAATCCTGTTAATTCCTCAGTCAACCCAGTTATGTAAGTACAAGTTTGACTCTCAGTCTCCCTCCTAGCTTTCGTCATATCGATGCAGGACATCGCACGTTTAGCCCTAACCTAGCCATGGGCGCTGGTGTCATTGTACGTAGAACCTTTTTATCCGCGTGTTAAAATCTTTCAGACTTTGTCGGGAACGAGTTACTTCCAGCCCGACTCCACGAGCGCTTGGTATGTACCCGTGATGAGATAAATACTCATCTATTCCATTCTTTCTTGGTCGTTTCTTCTGCACATCATGGGTCTCTTGTTGGCTACGTTTTTGGCCGTTCTCGTGCTGCCCAGTTTAGTTCGTTGCATGACACAGCAGGCCTTTCAACATCTTCCATCTGTGCCAATCGTGAAGTTAGATGATCCGTTATTCACCGGCACGTTCATTGGCGATGCAGCGCAATTCTTAGGCATTCCCTTCGCTAAACCCCCGTCAGTATGACCATCACGATCAGATATTTATTAACTCAATGTCTGTGGCAGTATCGGGAGCCTTCGCTTCCAGGTACCTCAACCGGTGCCTTCTTATGAGGGTTTACACACTGCAGTAGCCTATGGTCCCGTCTGCCCCCAACAGAAGTTACCAATACGAAGAGGGATAGGCCAAGTCATCACTGAATCGAGCGAAGATTGTGAGTGTTTAAAGTCCAGCTTGATGCCATTTATGTGGACTATTTACTCTCAGGTCTTACGCTCAATGTATTCACGCCTGCCGTCATACTCCCTGGATCAAAACTGCCGGTAGTCGTGGTCAGTCTTAGTAGCATCTTGTTTCAATGTGGCTGAGACCCAACTGCAGTATATATTCGGTGGTGGTTTTGAAACCGGGAGTAGTCAATCGTGAGTTATCAAACATATCTGTGCATCGAGATGATGAGTTACAATCCATGCATACAGAGAGTTCGGTAATATCACAGTCCACAAGTCATTGAAAATGCACGAACCAGTTATCTACGTTAGCATGAACTATCCGTGATGGTTGTTCTGTTATCTCACATACTTGTTCTGACAGCGACGTGTCGCAGGTTGAGCGGTAGGTTACCTCATAGATATTGAACTACTCTCACATCAGCATAGCTTGGGGATTCCTAGCGAGCAAAGAAGTTAAGCAGGCTGGGACCGGAAACTTAGGCCTCCGAGATCGTGGGTCCTATTTCCTTTGACTTTCTTTGAACTAATAATTCAACCAGAGCGACTTGCACTTCACTGGGTCCAAAAATACATTAGCTCCTTTGGTGGAGATCCAGCAAAGGTGACTATGTGAGCGTCCTTGAATGGTGTATGTATGACTTTGATGAACCTCGACACCACAAAGATGGGGCGAAAGTGCCGGAGCGATATCTGTTGCTCTCCAGATGCTCGCTTATGATGGTCACAATGACGGTCTCTTTCGCGCGGCATTTATGCAGTCAGGGTCCCCGACACCTATGGGTGACATCACCAATGGTCAACGATATTATGACTTTCTTGTTGATGTAACAGGTTGCAAGGAGGCAATCGATACAATGGAATGCTTGCGAGCAGTACCTCAGGAAATTCTGCAAGCCGCTGTGGATAAAACACCGTCTATGTTTTCTTACCAGGTTCTTAACTAGGTTTCAGCATCAATATTTTGACATTGACAAACATCATTATGGCAGTCACTTGATTTGGTTTGGATGCCAAGGGCAGATGGAATATTTTTGACGGGCAACTTCCAGCGCCTCGTCCAACAGGGGAAAATTGCAAATGTACCTTTTATCACAGGTATGGGTGTTTTGTCGCTTTGAGTCACATGTGGCTAACTTGGGGTATAGGTGACTGCGATGACGAGGGGACAGCTTTCGCATTCAGTACCACTAACATCACGTACTGAAACCTACTTTTTCTTGGTCGAGGGCCCTAATTCACCTCACTTATTTTAGGACAAGTGAGGAATTTCATGAATATTTGAAAGCGTATTGGGCACGCAATGCAACAGACGAGGAGATCGACAAAATCCTGCTCATGTATCCTCAAGATCCAACAGCAGGATCTCCATTTGGAACCGGGACTCATGACCAGCTGACCCCGCAGTTCAAGCGCATAGCTGCTTTTCAAGGAGATGCTGTCTTCCAAGCTCCGAGGCGGTTCCTTATATATGAGCGGTCGGGGAAACAAAAGATATGGACCTATCGTGCGTGGAAGTTCTTTACCATTCAAACAAACATAACCACCCCTTTCAGTCAGCAAGGGTCTCAAGGTAGTTCCGTTTCTAGGTGCGGTACGTGGACATTCAGTCAAGACGTAATGGAGGTGTTACTCAATTCGTCGTAGTATCACAGCTCCGACTTCATTTACGAGAAGTGGGGTATGCAAGGGAGCTTGTTGCATCTCTTGATCCATTTTGCAGCACACCTCGATCCTAATTGGATTCCTAATAGTGTTTTCTGGCCAGAATACACTGTTGAATCGAAGGATATGCTGATGTTGGGTGAGTGGCCCTGGTCTGCACCCACTATTATTCAGGACACGTACAGAAAGGAGTCGATGGAGTACTTGATAAATTTTACTCTGACTTACCCTCTGTAGTACTCGTATGCTTGACAGTGTTTTGCTTTTACTCACGTGTACAGACTAACCAGCGCTTGTGTCATATGTGTAAGTAGTCCTGTGTGACTGGTACCATCATCAAGGTGCAGGTTGTACATTTCTCCTGGCGACTTGCATGATGTATATGGGGTCGAAGCTATTCAAGACACCTGAGTCTTTCATGCTGTCCTGCACAAGAGAATTTTGCTATATGCTTGCTGCGTGGAGGGACAAAGTCCACCATGCGGCAGCATGATTATTTGTGTCGGTGCGCCAGTATACTGATGTAATAGACACAGGAAGTTGAACCGATTATGCAAGTTGCAACACTCACCGTGCTTATCCCGAACGGTATCGTTTTGATAAACGGCGACCGAGGATTGCTCTCGCCAACCAATTTCCAGTCACCGGTACCACCAGGGTGAAAAGTCGCAGGGCCAGTTGTCGCTCGTGAAACTTCAAGTTCGTACCACTTCGATATGTGGAAGTTAAGACTCAAGGGACTAGGGACTAGTGAGGATTCAAAATACAGCATTGAAATTGGGAAAAAGATGAGCCTACCGGTCGAGTACATGCAAGGAGCTTCAGCTTCGAGCTCAAGTTGCAACGTAGACATATTGAAGGGTTGAATACCTCGGGTTCGAATGAAGAAAATGTGGAAGCGAGGATCTCGTAAGTTGGCAAATAGGTCTTAGCCGAGCGCATCATTGTGTCACAGCACTTGGTCTGTGCATCAAACACGAGGATAACCTTGCATACACGTTAAGTACACCCTCAAATCAAATTTTGATTTGATTTGACACTTCCGAGTCTTAGCAGCCCCCACCGTCTCAGCGTCAACCACTCACATTGGTGCTTGGAGTATGCATTCCGTGTAAGTTGGTTTCAATTCGTGAGTGCTCTTCTGTTAGGTAAAGTTTGGCCACTCACTTCATCGCAAAGATCATCAGAAAACTTTGAAAGACGCCACCTTCCGCATACTTAGCTGTCCTGTATCGAAGAGAGTCGAGGACAGGCCTCCCCTGAGCCAGCAAGCTTTTCCTTCAGTGCAAGATCGCCCGTTCTAATCCAAAATCACGGCAGGCGCTCTCACATACATTGTCCACGATCTGTTTGTAGTGGAGGCGCCGGACGCTGAAAATGACCTCAGCAATCAGTAAGAAGCAACAGACGCCGGCCGTCGCTCCCCGCCATAAGATGCGAGGCCATACCCACGGCGTACGAGGTGTCGCGTATCTGCGTTGTGGGCAACGGATCATCACATGTTCTGGTGATGGCTCACTCCGACTATGGGACCTGCAGAGTGGCACACAGATAGGTCATGATTGGCGAGATGGTGAGGATGAGGACGATGAGATCGGAGTGACTGCCATAGCATTGTCTCCGAATGGTGATACTGTTGGGAGCGGATACCTTGATGGGAAAGTGAGATTATGGGATGTCGAAACGGGGAAGGTCACTGCTAAGTGGACAGGACATACTCGATTCGTGCTGGCAGTGTGCTGGAGTCCAGATGGTACGCGAGTGGCGAGTGGATATCATGATGGGACGGCAAGGATGTGGGCCCTTGAGACCGGCGACTCAGAAACTATCCTTGGCCCAATCAAGACTGGACATCAGTGGGTGTGGGCTATAATGTACTCACCGGACTCAACCAAAATTGCGACGTCGACAGGCGGATTCAACGAAAGTACAATCAAAATCTGGGAGGCCAAGACAGGCGAGCTGCTCGCCATACTCGATCACGACCCATTGGCAGTCCACAGCTTTGCCTGGACATCAGATGAAAAGAAACTTATCTCCGGGTCATTCGATGGTTCAATTAGGGTCTTCGAAACCGCCACATGGCAGCAAATGGCAATTCTCCAAGGGCACAACAGCGTTGTCTACGCCATGTCCGTGTCTCAGAACAATTGCCTACTTGCGAGTGTATCATGTGATGAAACGGCGCGTCTGTGGAATCTCGACACCAACTTACCAGTTGATCAACCCCTCCCACACAATAATCGTGTAGAATGTGCGGCCTTTTCTGCTAATGGAAAGCTGCTAGTCACTGGTTGCTGGGACCAAAGTGCGTATGTATGGGACACCTACGCAATTCTCGAAGAAGCGGGCCTTCAAGACCTTTTGTCTCATTTCGATGTGAGTGAAAACAGTTATCCACCTTAGATTCCTGTTGATATCTGCTCTTAGGAATTGCAGGGTGGACACGAAAAAAAGGTTCATAGCGTCCCATCATTCTTTGGTAAAGACCGCGCTAATACCCTGCTCGCAGGTCGCAGTTGGGAAGTCGTTGATAGATGTATGTGACACGTTTTCAACTTTCCTGGTAGATATTAATGCAAGTCCACAATCTAGTCCGATGCTCGGCGGCGTCCAGACCAGCTCAAAAATACTCTTCAAATACCACGAGATTGTTTTGATGACGTTCAAGACGATGTTCATGTGCGCCTATCAGCATTTCAATCGTTTGGTTCTTATTCTCACCTCCGTTTTCTCAGTCGCCTGCGATACGTGACACCTATGTTCGTTTCCCTGGTCACCGCACTCTCACACCTTCGGAGAGTCCACATGCACTCCTTGATGGCATTTCGTTGCCATTCAATCGCTCTCAGCCAAACAAAATCGAAATCCAGCACCACCAAAAGCCATCTACTACCCCTCGCTATGATCCTAGTGTCAATGAGGTTGCTGTAGTCACAGCCAAACAGGTATGTGTACTTCTTAAGTTGTGTTTCCCAACGCCGAAGTCGAATCATCTCTGAAGGCATTTTTTGTTGCCCCACAGCCGAAGCTACATTGGGACAATACGAAACAAGCACAGCAGCCAGGCTCATCTCAAAATCAACCCCCGGCGTTACCATCACGCTCTCAGCCTGCCGCCACCTCCATACGTCCTCCGTCTGCTACTAGTACTTTTACGTTAGGTGCAACAGGTGCACGTTCAGAAACCGCTCTTATCATCAGAAAGCCCACATGGTGGACTCGTTTCTTGTTCTCTGTCTGCTGTGTATCTGCTGAACTCATTGATGGTCATCAATGAAGACAGTACATGGACGAGTAGTTTATGTTCATACCTCGTTCTTTCTACTGCTATGTTGTAATTTTTATCGCTGGCATGTCAATACCCATCCTCACTTTCTATTCTTGTATTTGGATGACTTCCTTACCCTGCGTTCATTCAAAGGGAGTATTTAACCGTGTGTGCGTGCTTGATATTAGTCCCACCTCAAGACATCAATCAACCACTACGAATTTTTCGAAATTCACGCCGGGTACAGAGAATCAAGCGGCAATAACGGCAGGCATAGTTATATATTATCAACCAGACAGTCATCGTAGGCAGCAAGGTACTTTCATTCCTTAATTCACCCCCTTTGATTTATGTCACCGAATGTACATTGCGAGTAGCGACTGCAGACACAATTTGGAAGCGCGTACAATGATCACCGAGTGGGCTTAACCAAGCACCTTGCCAATGAATAGAGCACTTGCCTCTTCCGTGAGGTTACAGAGAAGTCTCGTTTTGTCTTGAGAGCACCTCTTGAAAACGCGCTTCCACTCTGCCGGTTTAAAAGGTCTGGCTTTCCCACAGCGAATTGAATCGAGACGTCGCTGAAACCAGAGCTCGCACGAAGTATTCCAGTAGCCCGTCCACGGGCCGCATTTATCGAATACATTGGGCCGTGGCCACCAGGACATCGTCGTCCACTGCTTTCGTCTACCGTCTTCCACTAAAAGGTCGTCGAGAGGTCAGAATAAGTTTCGAGTTCTCACATGAAATTTTGAGGTTTACCTGCAACGTAATATACACCACAGATCAGGTCCACTTCATCATCGGTAAGGATATCATCCCATGCTGTCCAGGTTACTCCATCGCTGGTGGACGAGGGAAATCGTTTAGCTTCTCCGAAAAGCCTTACATCTGAGGATGGCCCATTGACGAGGCCTAGACGTTCCTCAAAAGACGCTTTGCATAACCGCCACAGGATGCCTCCTCTGAGAAGTGCAGCACGTGCGTGGGGGTGCTTCAAAAAATCATCACGTTGTAGTTCGTAGGTTTTGTAGGTGTATGCGTTGGGCTGAAATGAGGATGGTCGACTGAAATCTTCGAATACAGTCTCAGGACGGGGCAGTTCATGAGGAGGATTAGGGGATAGCGCTAGCGTGAAGAATGGGATCCCCAAATCGACGAATTCTCCGATGAGGTCTTCCAACGAAGGTCCCCAATTGTTCCTAACAACTTGAACGACTGTCGTAGCGTGCGGGACGACGAGAGTCCATGACCGGATGTAACGTTTGTCTGAAGGGATGATGGAGTAGACAGGCGGAGTGAATTTGGCTTCATAGACAAATCTGAAGGTAGTATATAAGACTTTCTTCAAAGAATAATTGGAGTCATGCAGGTCCCATAGTGCAGGGGGTATAGGGGTGCCCTCTTTCACATGCAAGAAGATATGCCGAATGGATGCAACATTGTCTTCATCTTGTAATTGGGCATCTTTCTCTGCCATATACCTGCGCACCTCAGAGATGGCGGGTGTTGTTTCATCATGCATATCCTCATAGCTCGGGAGAAGCTCCAAAATCCACTGTGGACAAGGCTTTATGCCGTACCTTGTGCTCAAGATGGTCTCCAGATATTGTGGGGGTGACTTTTTGCCCCCGTCAATGTCATGGTCCTCCTCAGAACTGTCAGGTGTAGCAACGCTCTGTGTTTCTGGAATCGCAGGGCCTGGATCTGCAGTACGATCTGTTGCCAATTCTACGTGCTCTCGTGGAACGCTCGTAGATGGCACGGTCTGCACATCCTCCAAGAACTCATCGAAGGTGGAGTACGAGCAGGGTTGAACCGTGCGGGAGGATTCACTGCCCATCGAGTGCTGTGGTTGTGGAGTTAGGGTCATCTTTAGTTGAGGTCGAGTTGGAGTGAGTAATTATGGCTGTGTAACAAGTTAACTACAGAGTGCACAGCGATAATGGTAGTGAGTTCGTACCTAGGCAATAAGTTTGGCCGACGGCAGATCGTTAGTGGTCAAATAATAAGGTTGGATTGTTCCTCTATGAATGGAATGAGATCGACTGGACTGCACGGTTAAACTTTTCAACTCGGTGTAAGCGACAGAATGCTTGGGAATGACTGGACTGCATCGACCAGAGATGGATTTATATACGTCGAACTACGGTCAAAGGGTACGGCGTGGAGTGTTAAGCGAGTGGCAAGCATTTAGAACATCAAAGGAAGAGAGTGACAGAAACAATGTACTTGTTGCTGTTTGTGTCAAAAAGTTGTCTGCTGAAAGGAACACAAGGTGTTGTACAATGTATGGGACGCACCTTAGTCGACAACTTGTATTGAAATAGACGCATACTATGCCTTCCTCGACTCTCAAAATCAAGTATCCATTGGCATGACTTATGGTCGGTGCCTTTCACTGGTGATTAGAGTGCTGAGTTCGTCTGAACAACGCTAATCGTGAGTGACAACATCCTGTGAGTCACGATCTCTAAAGTGAAAGAAGATAAGCACGTCGGCTCACGTGGATTAACCTGTTTGAGTGGTCCGGAAATCATACACGGTCCACCATCTTCCTGAGTTTGGATCCCGACTATGCAACAGACAACGGTGACGCTCTACTAGTACCAGACGATGTATGGCCATACTGACCGGGTACGATGTGATGTAAGTACACCTGCTTGTTGGATGGCGCACCATTTCATGTTCTTGGGGCAGCTCACTACAAGTATGGGACTTTGGGAGCAACGCACAGATAGGCGACGACTGGATGAAGGAGAGGGACAAGACTGCCCAGTGATGACCATGATATTGGGCAACCATTCACTTTGCGAGCGGAAGTGATGATAGGACAGTAGGCTGTGGGCCGTGAGACGGGGAAGGTCATCATGAATTAGATAGAACACGCTCGGTATGGGGAGTCACTGTGCTGGAATGCTGATGATGACTCATGAGCGAGTGTTGAGTGTATCCTGATTCCTTGAACCAAGCAGCAAAAATGCGGATGTCCAGGTCGGTGAATGCGTCCTTGCTCCAATCAAGACTAGCAAAGAACACGTCTGTGTTCGCAGCGATGTACTCGCCCGGCTCAAAAAAGAGTTTGTGACAGACGAATACAAGGAGAACACAGCGAGATCTGGGATGCAAAGACAGGTAAAAACTGCTCTTCAGAGTCAAACACGGTAAAAAATCAAATGCCTCCACGTCGCATGGCTTAGATATTCGACACCGCTAGTACTTGGTACCAGTAGATGAGGGTCACAAGCCTCCTTCCGGAATCCGAGCGCATCGGATGGTGGAACAGCGCCACTGCGGAATCTTGACAAGCGCATCAAACTTGTGGACGATGATCATCGTGCTGCATGGAGATGTATTAATTACATAAGCTGCACAAAGAACCTTGCCTAATAGGTATTAGTCAGGCTCGGAGGCCTTAGCTCAACTCGAAGGCCTCATGATCAAACGCTAGTATGCGAATCGGCGTAGCCCGCATATATATATTAACATAAAATCTCAGATTCTGAGTTCGAGTCTCACGTCCTTTCATCCATCTCCAGGATGAACACAGAGAAGAGTGAGAAGGGAGGTTTTTATCAACCTTCTACTAGTAAGGAGCTGCTTCCGCACCCTCCAGGTCTAGTCCAAGCCCGGAGGTATTCAACGGGGCCCATCTTCCGCAAGTTCCTGGTTCTTGGAAGCTTTTCCCTTGTTTTTTTCCTACTCTACAATACTCACTCTATCTCCTTCCTTGGTTTGAAGAAAGACAAGAAGTACTCTGAATCGTATGACAGTTACATAAAGCGGATCGAGGAGGGCTATCTGTGAGTACGAACTTCATGCTGCCATCCGGGTCTTAATTTATTGTGGTCTGTAGTGCCGTTCCATCTGCGGAGTCTGCGCTTGCGGCCTCGCGTGACTACGCCACACACCCACATTTAGCTGGCGCGGTGGAAGACTTCCAGGACGCAAAGGACATTCTTGCGCTCTTCCAGTCCGAGTTTGGTATCTCTACGCCTACTACCGAGCCCATATACCCAGCAGGCTCCCCTGAGTCCCGCGAGGCAACTCTTAGCACAACCTCTAAGCTTAGCAAACCGGCCGCATGGGTCGATATCTATTACCCAGTCATGAACACAGGGAACGCGGATGGCATGGTTGTGGAACTGCTCAGTGAGAGTGACCAGCCCATATGGAAAGCCGACCTGGTTGAGGATGGTGACCCTCGTGACGAGACTGCTGCCAAGTACAAGCATTCCGTTCCACCCTTCCACGGTTTCAGCGCTGCTGGAGAGGCTATCGGCCAACTGGTGTATGCGAACTATGGTACCCATGACGACTATAACAAGCTCATTGGTGCTGGAGTGGACCTCAAAGGGAAGATCATCCTAGCTCGCTACGGTGCTAATTTCCGTGGTCTTAAGGTGAGCCGTGTGGCATATAATAATGACACAACAGATTGCTAATCTCAGACGACAAGGTACAAGGCGCGGCAGAGCATGGCGCAGTCGGTGTCCTGATTTACTCTGACCCTCGAGACGATGGGAGTGTCACCTTTGAGAACGGATATGAGCCATATCCCGCTGGTCCTGCTAGAAATCCCACATCAATTCAACGTGGCTCAGTTATGTACCTCTCTATCTACGCTGGCGATCCCACTACGCCAGGCTACCCTGCATATGAGAATGCAACTCGTGTTGAGCCAACTAACATTCCGAATATTCCAAGTTTGCCACTTTCCTGGGCCAACGCCAAACTTCTTTTTGAAGAGGAACTCGGCGGTGTCCCTGAGGGTACCAAGCTGAACGGGAGAGTTGGAAGCAGAAAAGTCAGGATGGTCAACGATGGTATGCGATTGCGATTACCAGTCGGATTGTCACTAAGCATAGTCGTGCAGTGGATGCCAAGGTCACGCCTATCTGGAATACCATGGTTGCAATTCCTGGTCACATTAAAGATGAAGTCGTCCTCCTTGGGTGCCACCGTGACGGTCAGTTGTGCAATCTGCCTGTGTAGTACGCACCTCATACTTCAACGTAGCTTGGGTTATGGGCGCTGCGGATCCCACATCTGGCACTGTCTCTCTTCACGAAGTTGTTCGCGGACTTGGGGCTCTTTACAAACGTGGATGGAAACCACTGCGTACCATTGTCATTGCCAGCTGGGATGCTGAGGAGGTCAGTGTGATCAGTTATCATCAGCAGCTCTCCTTATCCATAGATGTCACAGTACGGTCTCGTTGGAAGTACTGAGTGGGGCGAGGATTTTGCCGACTGGATCCAAGAGCATGTAGTCTCCTACGTCAATGTCGGTATGTTCTTCGTCCGTTTTGTGTATGTGCTCTCTGCTTAAAGTTGACGATAGACGTATCGGTTTCTGGTTCTCGCTGGTCTACATCTGCTTCCCCTTCTCTCGCCCACCTTATCCAGCGTTCCGCCCGAGACGTCCCTCACCCTACTGATGCCCAAAAGACCCTATGGGATGCTCATTTTGATATTGGTCCTTACGAAGGCCCTGTAGATGCCGAGTTTGCTCGTATGTGGGACAAAATGACCTCCGATGAACCACGAATTGGCCCACTGGGATCAGGAAGTGATTACACAGTCTTCCTGCAGAGACTCGGCGTTCGTCTCTTATCTAATACCCCTTCCGGGAACTCCACTCATTGTGCCATTGCAGGTTGCCAGCTCCGACCAGGGCTTCGGTAATACTCCGACAGACGCGCCTTACCACTACCACTCTATCTATGACTCGCAGATGTGGCAAGAGGTGTACGCAGATCCTGGTTTCTACAAGCATGTTTGTTATACATTTATCCTCGTACTCCCCGATCTTACCTGTGACTAGGTTGCTGTCGCGCAGAATCTGGGTCTGTTGACATTGCGTCTTACGGATTCCTTAATCCTCCCTTTAAACACCACTCAGTATGCACTTGAGCTTGACTCCTACGTCGACACGTGAGTGTTAGCAAATGAAGTCACATTATATATCTTGCTAATCCTTTCCAGTGTCATCAAGTCTACTTACCGTGAAGAGATTCTGCCAGACCTTTTCCCTCTTAGAAGGGCCATTGCAAAGCTGCAGGACGCAAGCTTTAAGCTTGATGAGGAGAAAGCTGCTGCCGAGAAGGCTTTCCATAAGGCTTTGAAGAAAATCAGTCGTGCTCGCAATCCCCGTGCTATTCGGCGGATCATTCAATGGATCAAGGAGCATCTCGGTATTAGTGCACCGGAAGTCCAGGACTTGAGGTTTGGCGCATTCAAATGGATGTCGTCTATGACAGAGTCGAGTTTCTCGGAAGCGCATATCTGCGAGTCGCGTGGCAAAGGCCCGTTATCTGATTTCATACGGGCAGCTAAGAGAGTCAGAACCGCCAATCAGAAACTCATGGCGTTTGAGCGTGGATTTATCTCTGAGGATGGCATTAAGGATAGGGAATGGTACAGACATCTGGGCGTTGCTCCCGGGAAACACCTTGGTAAGCCTCTGTGGTACTGCTGTGCAGTCTGGCTAATGATTTCAAACAGGGTATGCGCCAACTACACTGCCAGGCCTGACAGAAGCTATTGTTTATGACGAGGATCGCGAACTTGCCGAGCATGAGGCTGCTCGACTGACCGCACTCATTGAAAACCTCGCGGATTTTCTCGAGGTTTAAAGCAGAGTATACTACCAATTGTAGGCTTCCAGGCCAGCAAACATGAAATTCACCATGCACCTGCTTTCTTAGATACTGCCCAGCGTCGGTCTAGTGAATTTGATGACTTAGTAGCGGCAACCGAAGGTGCATATATTCCCCGTCGAACTTGTATCTGCGTTAAGTTCTTGTGCAGTCGCAACTAGACTTGCGACCGCGGTGCGCGACTCAACGTTTCCCGACACTCTTTTGAAAAGCCGTTAGTGATGGTCAATGATCTTGAGTAGGTAAGCAGACATCGTAGTTCGTAGGTATGTATGTGACATGGGATACATACACAGTAGGACCAGGCCTGCACTGCACATAACTAAACACCATATATCACCGTCGAAAATTGGTCTCCAAACTGCAACTCAGATACATCCGTCAGTGTATGAATATGCGATTGTCCTTCACTCGCTCGTAGGTTGAAAAGGATCCGAGAGGCTAGAACACTGTGGATGACGATCTGCGGACTGGTGACATGATACACAATCAGTTGGTGATGCAGTTGTTCAAGTTGATGTACTCACGAGTCTGTGATGGAAACCCATGTGACCTGTATTCAACAATAAGCACATGGATGGCTGGCCAGGTATACTGCGACGCACCGGAGGAGCCATAGTCAAGATTATGTTAAACGATGATACGACTTGATAGTAGGATGTCAACACACGGGCCAGTTTCGGCGAATAGATTAATCTTACTCATGATGCAGATCATATATCTCGCCGAGTCGTTGAAGAACGTTCTTTGGAGTAGTCCGACGGCATTGCCGTACTTGCTGAATCTGATGTACATCATCAAGCAAAAGAGGACTAATTATGCATGAGTCTAAGAATATTCTTGAAAGACGAGACGCCTGACCCAGTTCGTACAGTAACAGAGCAGCGTACTCGTAAACGTTATTTCTGCCGCCCACGAAAAGACAGTCGCCCGGATTCGCTGTCCACCTCGTATGAGTATGATTGTCACAAAAATCAAAGAATGCATCACAAACGTATATTAATAGAGGTCGTGTTTTTGGAATTGAAGATCAGGGGAGTGTCAGATATGATATAAGAGCCCGCGAAACAAACCTGGCAGTGGTTCAGCGTCAAGCCTTTTATGGTGAAAAGTGGACGAAAAACATACGACGGGAAAAACAAGAAGGAATGCCAGCAGACGCTTACTGTTCCAGGAAGCGTAAATCCTCGTTATGAGCAAGCCTAGAGGTGAAATGTCAATATCGGGAGCTCATTTAGGACATGACATACCTTCCGCGGCTAGAATGCAGATGATATGCAACACTGCGTAAGGGTTGGATGAGAAAAGTAATGTACCGTAGACTGTGTACGCTGACCGTTGGACGCTTGTCCAAATCTAACACACTACGGGATAGTTATAAACATTAGGGTATTGAAGGGCTGTAATCACTTGCACTTTCACCAGGATAGTACTGTGTTCGAAGCGCACCTATCCATCAACCGTGAGGCTTGTCATAAAAAGCGAGTTAGAACATGTGTAGCTCACCCGTGAATGTCATCCCAATGGCGAAAAATGGCAAGTATCGTGATACAGTGAATACAAATCGCACGAAAGTCCATCTGCGGTGCCAGACCCACTGTGACTTTGGGACAGTCATCAAATAATTCAACAATAAGTGCACCACACGCACCTCTGTTTCCAGGGTAATGAAATAATCAAAAATCTAAGTAAGGACATCAGCATCACATATCCACGAGTTCAAGTCAGCTAATGCGCTCACTAAAATAGCAAACATTCCAACTGAGTATTCAGTCAGCCACAATATCTGTACAAGCATCAGATATGATCCGTACCATTGAAGTACTGGGCGTAAGGGTTAATCAGAGTTATTTGGAGCTTGACTCGTTGCGCACCTTAGATGCCTGTGTGCCAGCGTCGACGAACAAAGCAGTAGGGTGATCCATCCGATGCGTCAAGTTTGTGGAAAGCAAATCAACGCTCTCGCTGTTCGTTCAAGTTACGCCCAAGTTTACTATTTAAGCACACACAACTGACAGCTGTGTTACAACGTTTACACATCGCTTTCATGTTAAGATACGCCAAGTATTGCAACACGGATCAACGCCCATGTCGATCAGTAGCCTAAGAATCAAGGGGTGATTGTGAATGGTGATATGAGTAACAAGGCTGTGGAACCCAGATCAATAATCAATTCATTCATGACGATGCGCTATGTAGTTGGAATCTGTTTCATTATCCTGTGCCTTCTGACTGACGCTGGAATATAATCAGATCCGGGAACACGGTAACTAAACTACAGCTATAACGACGGATGAATCAATTTCACGCCAAAATCTCACGGTGATAAGACAAGCGGAGCCCCTCAGCTTCATGCTCGAACAGACAGCAGTACATGACGCGGCAGCCCAGCGTCGCGAATCGATCCAACTTGGTTAAACAGGTTCAACCGGCTCACGAATGGGCCAACTTGAGGATAATGAACTCAATTAAGAGGAAAAAAAAAACTCAGCTATTACGAATCACGCCGACCGTCTTCAGCTTGAGATGCGGGCTAGCCTACCTGCAATATCATACGCCGTTTGGATGTGCAGTGTCTCTGAAGTACTTGTGCATGGTTAGACATCAAATGAAACCATCACATGCACAGCCCGCTGCACAGCATGCTCACCTCGGCATTCGGAAAAGTCATCATTTGACATTACATCTTTGAATTTGGAAGTTCGAAGGGGTGGGCTCAGTGCGGAGTGCTCATCATGATCATCAAGGAGCGAGTGTTACAGCTCTTGTTGTTCTCGTGCGTTGACCTCGAAATCTCACGACGACATTCTTCCCAAGCAATGATTCCGATTCATCTTATCACCACGATCCATCGCCTGCATCAGGATTCTCCAAAGGTCGTGTTCTCTCAAAGTGTGAGGAACAAACACGTGATTAGAACGAAGTCTATGCCATTTCGAGAAGAGTAACTCACGCTTTCTCTTCCTCTCCCTATCATTGCTCATACACTGAGCATTTCGCCTCGTGCTATCATCATTAGCCATACTCTGCTCTAGTCTACTTTTAAAAACATCGAAAAACAGCCACAGCAGTTTTACCGCAAAAATTTACAATGGATAGACTCCATTCGGATCCTAGGTTTTCAGTTTGCCCCGACTTCATGTCCGAAAGGTATCGAGTCAGTCGGATCAGCATGGTGACTGCCAACGTCACCGAAGCCCAGGCTGCTGACACCCTTCGCAACATATGGGTGACCACCAACGAAGACTTGTGTTTACAATGGCAACAACAACTTGCCGAAGACGACAGACTGAAAGCAGAGAAGCAGTGCTTAGACAAAGAAGACCAGGAACGTCAACAAGCAGCTTTGCAACTTGAAGAAGCTACAGCGCGCGCGGATGAAAAGAAGAAAAACCGTCTAAAACACATTCCAATACCCATGCGCCCGCGTCCCTTCGCCAATGACGAAGAAGCTTTAATTTCAGAGTTTGCAATACGCAAACTGGACAAAGGTCAGTATATAGAACTGTACTACTGGACGAACCATGGACTCGATGATGCAATGGTCAACTACCGCACTCGTGATGACGATAGCTTAGTTCCTACCACCGGCGAAGACGGTTCCACAGTTTGGATAAGCTCTGCATCCTCTAAACCAGCATCAGGCGTCATAGTGGATAGACACTTATCCCCAGCAGATTTCGCACAAGCTATTCCTCGCATAGTTGCGGCTCTAGAAGAGCGTGACTGGCCTCAACAACGTGTGCTGATGCTCGCCCAATTCTGGGGAGCCATCATGCTACATCGTTACTAAAACTCTCGCGACTTATTAGCTCAACGAGCCATCATGCTATTCCAGGAAGAGCAACGCAGAGCGTGGCACAATGCTATTCCATCCTCAAAAGGTGCTTGGGATATTTCAGTCATCGACGAGCCAACCCTTGCGTGCACCTTCGAGAGAGTTTATCGTGCCTCGCTCATTCGTTCCAATGTGCACAGACAGGATATTCAGGTTAGTACCTCCTTTTTCAATTACTTTGAAATCTTTCTAATTGCATTCCCTTTTCACCTCACAACTGCATCGAACCAATCGTGTTTAAAAATATTCAAATTGGTGTTTTTTCGTGTAATGCCTTACCTTGATTGGTCCTTTGAACCCATCAACGTGTTTACTCATCCTTGTGATACCTTGCGTCTGCGTTTGCATTTATGCCTTTTGTGTATACCATCTCCAGCCATGACACTCAAGGGAAGAGTCGCGCAGCAACCACAGAGATAACTCCTTGCAGCACAGCTCGAGATGTTTGAAGAGGTCACCATCTCAATCTGCCAGAAGGCGCTCGCGTTCACCAAGGGACAATCACAACACCTCTGGCAACCAATTGGGTTTTCAAGACAGTGCACATGGCAATTGCGCCCCAGCTGTGTGCGCCGTCTGTCTGGGGACCCATGGCCACAAATTCATCAAATGTGTCGCCGAACGCCTATGGAACAACAAATTTCTTGCCTCGTCAACGTGCTCTGGAAAGTCCTTGCTCGTACGGAACTCGTACAAAACACTTTGTGTCGATTGGCAAAGATCATGTGGATGCAGCAGTCGGCATCATGACGAACACCATGTGTGCTCCGGGTGTCTTGCCACATCACACGGAGCTCAGTCGTGCGCTCGCGCTCAGAAAACTTCACCCACTCACACCTTACAATCATCGGGAATGGGAGCTTCAACTTCATAAATACGATCTTCTTAATGAGTATCCCGATCTATCAGAAGGTCTACGGTCTGGATTCAACCTGCACATACCCATCGTTCTTCACACACAATCTCCCCCAAATAGTGCATCACTCACCATCTTTCGCACTGCCTTCGACAAAATTCTGGAACGTGAGCTTGCCACCGGAAGATACATTGGCCCGTTCTCACAAGACAGCCTCAATGCTCTTCTGGGTCCTTTCCAATCATCTCCGATCTCCATCATCCCCAAAGCGGGAAAACCTGGAAAGTTCTGTGTTATCCAGAATTTTTCATTCCCCACCAACACATCTCTGGCTCATCCTAATGCTTCCATCAACTCCAGCGTCAATTCAGATGACTTCCCTTGCACTTGGGGAACGTTCGATACCATATGTACCATCATTCGTTCTCTTCCACCTGGCTCTCAAGCAGCCACGTGCGACGTCGCTGAAGCTTATCGTACCATTCCTATACATCACTCACAATGGGCAGCAGCCATGGTTCACCTTCCTGATGACGATTTGTGCATTGACACTTGTGTATCCTTCGGTATGGGTCCATCAGCTGGTGTCTATGGACACATTGCTGATGCTGGAGCAGACTTACTTCGTGCAGCTGGAATCGGACCCCTGGCCAAATGGGTGGACGATCATTTATTCTTTCGCATATGACGTGAGCATCTTCTTACTTACAACGAACATCGGAAAAACCTGCACGATCTCCTGGAGGCCAATGGGAAGTCACAGTCAGGAGGGTGTCTGTGGTATGAAAGTGGGTCTCTGGATGATGGCAGCTTTGACATCCATGCAGAAAATTGCAAGTTTCCCCTATGTGATCTTTCTGATTCTTTGCCAAGGTCTGACATCGACGCAGACTTCACGTTTGCATTCGAAGACATCACCAGACTGTCTCGTCTCTTGGGAATACCGTGGGAGCTCACAAAAGACACGCTATTCAGCTTCGTGGCACTCTATCTGGGTTTCCTCTGGGACATCTCGCACTTATCAGTCCGGTTATCTCCAGAGAAACAAGCGAAGTATCTACTTGCCATTGCAGAATGGCGCTCACACGCGATGCACACACTACTCGACATCCAACGGCTCTACGGGAAATTGTTGCACTCATGTCTGGTGGTCCCAGCAGGACGTGCGTACCTCAGCAGATTGGAGACCATGCTCGGAGTCAGTCACAATAGCCCTTTCGTGCCACGTCACTCCAGTCATCATCTCAACGAAGAGCTCGAGTGGTGGGAAGAATGTCTCAATCGTTCCTTCGTGAGATGCCCCATCACACAACCCTCCTCCCTCATCGACTTACAGGCCTTCTCAGATGTAAGTACATCCTTCGGCATTGCAATTACTCTCAATGGGTATTGGCGAGCCTGGCGTCTGCTGCCCGGATGGCAAATGTGCAGAGGTCAGCATGACATCGGGTGGGCTGAGTGCGTGGGGTTTGAACTCCTCGTACATGCCATCCTCCACAGTCGTCAACCCAACATCCACAAACACTTCCGGTTGTTCTGTGACAACCAGGGAGTGGTCAATGGATGGAAGAACCACCGCAGCTGCAACCGAGCCACCAACCTCATGTTTCGTTGCATCCACAGCTTGCTGGAGTCAATTGGTGGTGAAACCTCCTTCCATTTGCAGTACGTACCTAGCACAGACGACCCAGCAGACGACCCATCACGAGGAATCTTCCCTCCACGTCGGTTCCTCCTACCCCCAATCGACCTCCCAGGAGATCTCTGTCAATTTCTCATTGACGTCAAACCCTCCACCGAATCTGATCATCCCCGTGTCGTTGATATGCAGCAAAGTGTTGATGAAGTGGTTGACACAGAGAACGATGGATACTGGGGAGAACAACTCCTCCAACTACGAGATTTCTGGCAGGAATAGACCCACCAAGTTCATGAAACCACCCCCCATCATTGTCTCCTCTGCCAGAGCATCAGTTCATCCCTACAAACCAGACTTAACACCCGTCACATTGCCTCTTAGACCACATTGTTTAGCGCGGGATAGGCTAAGGCTATGGGTACCAGGAATATCAAGGTCGCTGTTAGATCACGCAGGTTCACCAGTAACAATATCCGAGAATGACCTCGACCGCATACTGACCGTGATTGTGCACTCCCATGCTCCCAGCACCAGAGAATCCTACAGCTCAGGTCTTCTGGTGTTCCATGTCTTTTGTAACTCACTCCAGAAACATCCCAGAGTCCCAATGCTGCCCAGCATCTTCAATCCTGATTCTCATGTTCATCGCTTCCTGTGCCGGGTTATATTCTGGGAAGACATTCGAGAACTACTTATATTCTGTGAGAGCTTGGCACCTGTTACACAGCCAAGCTTGGTGAGTTGAACAAGATCAGATATCCTTAGCACTAGAAGGAGGCAAATGTCTCACTCCTGCAGCTTCCACACGTCCAAAACGAAAACCCTTCACCACATCACTCATCATTCGCCTCCACTCAGCACTAGATCTATCCACACCTCTACATGCTGCAGTATACACATGTCTCCATCAGTAAACTACAAATTTCTCCACAGACATCAACATTTTCGACAGTTCTCACAGTAACCCACAGAGGCACAGCGCTCACAGCAAATTTCTCCCAGGTATCGACACTTTTCTGCAGTTCCCCACAGTTCCCCACAGAGGCACAGCACTCACAGGACGTACAGCCTCACAGTGTCTGTCAGTAAGATACTATTATAGTTACTAGTAGTCATGAGCGCTACTAGGCCTAAGTATTACTTCAACTCGTAATCCTCAAAGTACTTAGAATTAAAATTTAAAGTCACACAATTTGAAGCATCCACCAAGTCAAGTGCATGAAGCAGAATTTTATATCCATATTTACTATATTACCAGTACCACAAAATACAAGCTATTTGATACAACGTAAGATACTCAACATTAGTCCAACTGTATGGTTACATGGCACTGAGATGCGGTGAATGAGTCTACGATACAAGTGTTAGTTGGTAGTGCTGTGTACACGAAGGCGCTGAAGGTACAACAATTCAGATGGTGAGTCTGAACAATATGTTGGGTCTTGCAGAACCTAGCTGCTATTCGACCCTAAAGGGTTTCTGGACTAGGCTTAAGGCTCAGAGGAGAGGAAATATCATAGAAAACTGCTGAGCACTCAGACTCATACTGGTAACTGGTGAAAAGATTGCTTGATTATGTAAGCTACAAAAGTGCCAACATAAGGTAAGGTAAAAACAGTCTCTACAAGCCCAGCCAGAAATGAATCCCTACAGCGCACTTACCATGGAAACTGGGTGGCGTTGAGCAGTGAGAAAGTCCGTGTTTTTTGAATGTGATGCACATATGACCTAGTCCTACATCCGCCTTGTCAAGCTTCTGCTTAGAAATGGCGGACTTATATTTCGAAAGATTGGTCATGACCTCGTGTTCTCGGACAACACAATCCGCAAGTGTTTTCTCTGCTACAAATACATCGTGTCGGGCCCTTGCGAGGTCCATGATGAGGTTTGCTTCAAGGTTGTCAACATCATCGATGGTCTGTATGCACGTTAACAAGCATTGTAAGACTCGCATATCAGTCACTTACCATTAACCCAATAGCGTCAATGACATCATACAAGTCAGCGATACCACCACTGCCAGGGTCACCCAGAGTTCGGCTTGATTGCCTCTTGTTGGAGTATTGCGGGCACATACATGACGCTGATGGTACTTCACTGGAAATGTTTAGATGAATTGGTGTGTGGCTTGACTCGGACATGAGTGTTTTGGAAAAACTAATATGGCTTATTGATTCCGGATATCATAGCTTACTTTGAACTCAGAATCTCACATGCACATCAATACTATGTCATCACTCCAACTTCTAGAATGTCCTTCGTGCGGCAAGGGCAGTTTCAAGGACCATGTCGCTGTCGCTCGACATATGAGCCAACCTCGCTCTGGCTGCAATACTTGGCTGCAGAATCTGATATGCTTGGATGAATCGAATAATCCTGTGAATATGGATGAGTCAGACATCAGAGTAAATAATTCTGACATGGAGTCTGGTGGTTTTGAAAATTGGGATAAGGTGTTCCAAGGGAGTAGAATGGAGGACCAGGTTCATGACGAGCAAACACCAACTCGCGATTCGGAAGTTATGGACTCATATCCTGACTGTGCACAATCATACGGCAGGGGCTACACGTTCCTGGACTTATTCAATATGGACGAGAACAGCAAACACCGTGTTACGAATCCATATTATCCTTTCAGTGGCCAGAGAGACTGGGAGGTTGGGTCATGGTTGCTTCACTCAGGGTTAAGCATGGGGAAGATAGATAGTTTCCTTTCGCTCGAGATGGTGAGTAGTAATAAATTCTTCGATAATATATAATTTTTGAAAGTGTCTCGTTCAGATAAAGACCCTTCCGTTGTCGTTCAGTTCGGCCAAGGAACTATGCGGCAGAGCGGAAATGTTACCCAGCGGTCCACGCTGGATGTCTCAAACAATACCTACAATGCATCCCACGAAATCACCTGTTGTCTTGTATTGGTGTGATCCCTTAGATTGTGTTTCAAGTCTTCTCAACCACCCTGCCTTTCATGATGAGCTAGACTTTACACCTCGCAGGGTGTATACCACTGCGCAGCAGCTGTGCCGTGTATATTCAGAATGGATGACCAGCGATGACGTGTGGAATATGCAGGTACATATTGTTTCATTTGTGCGAGTCATTATACTTATCTGTTTTTGGACAGTCAGCCCTACCAAGAGGTGCAACACTCCTCAGGACCATTTTATCTTCTGACAAGACGAATATATCGACCATGACGGGCGACAGAGTTGCACACCCCCTTCTAGTTAGTCTTGCTAACATACACATGTCCATGCGACTCAAGTCGTCTTCGAATGCCTTTGTACTCACCGCTCTACTTCCTGTCCCAAGATTCATCCATAAGAACAAATGCATGTGAGGCATACTTGAAGATCACCTCATTCACGAATGCTTGGATATTGTTCTACGTCCACTCAAGTTGGCCACTCGCGAAGGGATCATGCTTTCAGACCCTGTTGGGCACAGTCGCTATTGCTTTACACCGCTCGCGAGCTATATTGTTGACACCCCAGAGGCCATGATGCTGGCCGCTTTTGACCTTGCTATGAGTCTGCTCAACAATATGCCAGACTCAAAGCAGCATGGTTCAGATGTAGATGTCGATGAAAATGTCGATTTCGATGCAGACGACGATCACGATATCCCAATAGACCTTCTGGCAACGATCAAATACCCTGGACATTCACGTCCAATCACGAATTACTTCGGAATCACCAAGTTCCTCCAGTACAGGGAAATCAGGATGGTCCTTATGCCATTGTGTTTGTTTGTTGTCGAACGCACAGGATTTCACTTCGCTTATGACCCCTCCATTAGAAAGATATCTGTTGATGATGCTGCCATCAAGTTTGACCTTGCTGACTTACGACCAGCCATTACCAATTTTCTTCATTGTGAGGATACTCATGGGAGAGATCATGTCCATACTATTGGGGGGGCTAGAAGAGCTGGACCCGCTGCTTCACTTCCCTTTGACACGCTACAGGTCTGGTTTAAACTTCGGCTGCAGGACACTGAATTCCACGACATTAGCATCATACGGCCTGCGCAAACCCTCAACTGTGCACCCCCTTCTGATCCCTGGACCTCTGGCCGGTATGATACAGTTATCATTAACAACGATGCGGGATGCTTATGGCCCACAAGTGGTCTTCGTGGTACATTATGCTCTCATGTCGCGCTGAATATTTACTTATTGTCAAGTCACAGGTCATACTATTGGTCAAATCAGGCTTATCATGCATCCTATTGGAAAGAGTGGCACGAATTGGTCATGGAAGGACCGTTTTCTGGTATACGTGCATCGCTTTGACATTGTTCCTCAAAGCTCCGGCACCAATGATCGTGAGCCAAGTACGCAGCTCCACTTGCTCAAACGAGCAAAACGCTCAAATGGTACTTGGGTGGGTGACATCATACCCGTGATGCAGCTTAGATCACCTGTGAACCTTGTCCCTCGCTTCGGTGCAAGTGCGGTGTAGAGACTCATGCCTCTCATGGCGTGACATGGCAGTTTCCACCAAGGAGTGCATAGCACGAACTTGTAGCGTCACTCTGTGTGCTACCCACAGCTATCCCTATACAAGGCGCAGCTTTCCCGCGCACCATTCCTGCGCTTCACGATGTATATGCACGCGCACGCTGTAGAAACAACAATACTGAGAGGAACAAAGAAATGCTCCTGACTGTATCTAAAAAGTTGTAGGTCGTGCGTTGCCTAGTCTGCTATACTTGAAAGGACAAGTGCATTTGACCCTAAAGGGGAAGCAGGTGCAGCGGAGATCTAGAGGTACGCGCTTCAGCGAAGCGCGAGAAAGCGCAGGTGCGCGCAAGGTACGAAGGCGCGGGAACGCGCGCGCGTATTAGCGCGAAGCGCGGGAAAGCGTGCGCGTGTAAGCGGAAATAAGAGAGACTAAACTTATGTGAAGATATAAGCAAGATAAAGGATGTGAGATGTGTTGTGCTAATGAATAGATTTCTACTGCGACTTTCTAAGTAGTAAGTACTAGGTAAAGTTGGGTGAAAAGTAAGGTACATAATAGTATGTACTGCTGGCGCTTATATAGCGCGCCTAAGCGCGCTCATGCGGAGCCGAAGCGCTACCGAGTAGGTATGTAAAAATATATATGAGTGAGAAACTATGATAAAAATAAAGGTGGAACTATGCTAATAAAGGAAATGGAAATATACGCACTAGGGAGCTTGGTGGACAGTGGATGGATGCATCTGGATGGCTGGCGCTATAGGGCGCGCAAGCATGGGAACGTGCGCGCGCGTATACATCGTGAAGCGCGGGAATGGTGCGCGCATGGTGCGCGTTGCGCAGGAAAGCTGCGCGTCATATAGGAATCACTGTGGATGGTACACAGAGTGATGCTGCGAGTTGGTGCTGTATACTCCCTAGTGTAAAGTGCCATATCACACTATGAGATGCACGAGTCTCTACATCTCCCAGGGACTTAAATTCTGAGTGTCCCCACTCAGCGCGCGCATGGTGAGGATTTTGCGTGATAGTATGTGTGCGCGATGCCTGTATGATGCTTGGGTCGTTGGGCGATGAATGCGCAAGTGCAGGAATTATTGCGTGGATGTGCGTGAAGCGTGGGAAGTTGCGCGCATGGTACGCGCAAGGCGCGAGAATGTGCGCGCGCTATGCGTGAAGGCGCGGGAATGAAGCGTAGCATGGCGAATTGCAAGGGTGACTCTGGTGTGAATAGTGTTCCCTGGGTGTGAGGCGATGATGTGAGAGTGATATGGATGTGGCGCGCATATGGCATAAAGCGCGAGAAAGTGCGCGCGCGCAAGGCGCGAGAAAGCGCGTGAGTGTCGCATGTGTTGTATTGTGCGTATGATGCGAAGTGGTGCGGTCCAAGAGCGATCCAATCCATGTCCAGACCAAGTCCTGCTAGGCGCGCTAAATATTAGATGCTAAAGGTTTGAACATTGTGAGTAAAACTATATGTGAAAATATGAAGGGAAAATGGTAGACTTTGCGGATGTCCTATCCGACTTGTCTTCTTCGTGCAGCTGTCAACATCTACACCTTCCTATGAGCAAGGCGCGGGAAGCGCGCATGTGTGCGCGCGCGAGGCGTATGGGCGCGTGAATATTGCGCGCGTATGTGCGTGTGAGCGTGGGAAGACTGCGCGCATATGTGCGCGTTCTAAGGTAAAAAGGGGCATGGTGCCGCGTCATGCGTGCGAAGAGAAAATAATACTATTGAGCTAGGTGGGCACGATCTATGGTTGTTTTTCTTCTATGTTCTTCTAGGCAATCCCTATATGCATATATATCAGTGTGTTATTAGTCTTTTGGACAGTGTTATAATGAGAGAAAATGAAATGAAAGAGCGCTGGACGAAACCCAGGGTAAAACAAACAATATCCTATGAAACAGTGTTGGTATATGTTCCTCCTTTGATGCGCGGCTGAGGCGCTTGATCCTCCTCCTTGAGCGCGTGCGAGTGCGCGTGACTAGCGCGCTTCGCGTCTCTTGCGAGCTGACGCTTTACCCAAGGTAGGGTTGGAATGAGCGAGGCTGGCGCGCTTGGGGGGGGCTTGTAACTGGCAGAATGAATTCCTGCACAATGCGCTGCAGGTTGAAGGCGCGCCAATGGGAGGCGCTGCAAGGGGTGTAGGGGCGCCCTACAAGCTGATAGGATGCGCGCGATGTGCGCGCCTTGGTGCGATTTCGCGCGAATTTAATTATTTTGGCCGAACACGCGAGGAACGGCCATTTCTCTGCAAATGCATTAGCGAGAGACATGTATAGTGAAGAATTAGGCGCAAATGTTGCGCCAATGGGCTGTAAGGGTGGTATATCAAGGCGCAATAGGCGCATAGGTGAAGGAGAATAGTGCGCATCAAGGCGCGCAGGAATGAAATTGACATGGTAAGCAAAAGCGCGCAGAATGTGAATAAATGTGGGAAGTGCAAAGTTAAAGATGATGATAGGGGAGTTAGGCGCATATGTATGTGTCAGGCGCGCGCCTAAGTCGCGCCTGGATGGCTGATTGAAATATACTTTGTGTTGAATGATAGAAATGCGGTTTAGAAGGGGAGAAGCGATAGAAATGCGGTAGCGTGAAAACTCTGCTAAAATTATGAGTGCGCAAGGCGCGGGAATGCGCACGCGTATTGCGCGATGCGCGTAATCATGGCGCGTGAACAAGGGGTGGTGCAAAGATGAACCTAAAGTGTTTGGAAGCGTCATATAGCTCCTTAAGAGCTTCAAACATGAAAAAGACAAAAAATGCGAAACAAGATGAGGAAAAATATACCGTGCCTCTAGGCGCGCGCATTGCGCGTCCTCAGGCACAATATGGTGCTCCTGAGTCGCGCCAGGGTCGCCTGAGACATGCTCTGCTTGGTGGTTAGATGGCGTGATGCATGGATGCTTTACTGGCATGCGATAGTCACTGGAAGCAAAAAGTGCGATGTGCGCGTGATCGCGAGTGACATCTGGAATTTCCAGAGACAAACTCTGGTTGATGCAAGGTGCAACTTGAGCCTCTGATGCGGTAGGAGGCTCCTCTATAGGCGCGCTAAGGTGCAATAGATGTTTAGGGTCATCCCTGACCTCTAATGATGCGAGCAGTGATGGTGATGGTGCGATTGGCGAGGTTTCTTCCTTAAGTGATGCGATAGCGAGGGGCGAGCGTGTTTCTAGCGGTGCATTAGTGTGCAATAGATGTTTAGAGTCATCCCTGACTAATGGCGAGGCTATAGCGATAGGCGCGTGCGATGCGATAGCGATAGGTGCGCGTGTTTCAACTGGCGCGTTAGTGTGCAATAGATGTTTAGAGTCATCCCTGACTTCTGACGCGATTGATGGTGATGGTGATGATGCGGATTGTGAAGGAGATGGTGCTGCTGAGGATGATGGTGAAGAGGCGCCTGCAGTGCGCGTCTGGTTGCGCTTCGCGAGCACGCGCTCGAGTTCGTGATCTAGAGTGATACAGTCTGGTATAGCTTTGCATGCTGGCATAGTTGATGGTGGAGGTGTGTGTGAATTGCGCGAAGGCGCGGGAAAGGCGCGTGCGCGAGGCGCAAGAATAGGAACTGGTGGCCTTTTGTCAAGTGCAACCTCTGAGGGTGCGCAATAGAAGAGTCCTGCTGTCGCATTAGTACTGGTGGTCGTATCCTGGGTTGCGTGGCTCGCGTGATAGCGATCTTGGCACTTAGCCACTGGTGCGCTAACTGGCGTGTTTGGCGCTATAGTGGGCGCGCTAATTGGTGCGCTTACTGGTGCGCTTGGCGCGGGAAAAGCGCGCCCAGATAATAGGAACTGCGCAGCTGCAAAGACGTCCATAAATGGATATGGGTCGTATGGGTGGTGGTCAGGGAACTTGATCATAAGGCGCAAGCGGATTTGCGCCTGAGCATCGCTAGGGATTCCTTCCATGAATAAGTGGTCGCGTTCGGCCTTTCCAATACAGTCTTCGTCCATGAGTGGCTGCATAACCTTCCTGAATGCGCGCAGGTAATTGCTGAGTTCTGTGCAAGAAGGCATTGGTTTGTTAGCGTATTCGCACGCGATGGCGCACAAGTCCGCGAGCGCGTAGCGTCTTTTACCATCCCATCCAGGATACATTACCTTCACCTCATCTAAAAAGGTGCTGTAATCATCTACTGCCGCTTCTGGCATGCCTCCCCATAGTTCTCGATCATCGCATGCAAGGTAGCGGATAATACCTTTGATGCGGTCAAGTCCTTGGAGTCCTGCTTCATCAGCGAGCTGCTCATATGTGTCAATGAATTCAGCGAGGTTGTCTGTAGTGCCGTTGAACTTGGGCGCATTTGCGGTGCCGCGGATGGGCATTCTATAAGGCATTGAGGCGTGAAAAGGCACAGGCGCGCGCGTGAGGCGCAGAGGTGTGGGAACTATTGTGTGCGCGCAAGGCGCGAGAGTGCGTGACTATACAATGGTTAGCTTCTGAATTTGCAAAGAGATTGACCTTATATGTGCGAATTGCGCTAAGTGCAAAGGTGCGCTCGCAAGGCGCACAGGGGTGGGAAAGCGCGCGCGCAAGGCGCGAGAATGCGTGACTAGAAACTGGTTAGCTTGTGAAAATGCAAAGAGATTGACCTGTATGTGTTAAGATGCGCAAAACTAGATCTTGCTGACTGCTCCCCTCGCGGTGGGCTCCAGTTGTAGAAACAACAATACTGAGAGGAACAAAGAAATGCTCCTGACTGTATCTAAAAAGTTGTAGGTCGTGCGTTGCCTAGTCTGCTATACTTGAAAGGACAAGTGCATTCGACCCTAAAGGGGAAGCAGGTGCAGCGGAGATCTAGAGGTACACGCTTCAGCGAAGCGCGAGAAAGCGCAGGTGCGCGCAAGGTACGAAGGCGCGGGAACGCGCGCGCGTATTAGCGCGAAGCGCGGGAAAGCGTGCGCGTGTAAGCAGAAATAAGAGAGACTAAACTTATGTGAAGATATAAGCAAGATAAAGGATGTGAGATGTGTTGTGCTAATGAATAGATTTCTACTGCGACTTTCTAAGTAGTAAGTACTAGGTAAAGTTGGGTGAAAAGTAAGGTACATAATAGTATGTACTGCTGGCGCTTATATAGCGCGCCTAAGCGCGCTCATGCGGAGCCGAAGCGCTACCGAGTAGGTATGTAAAAATATATATGAGTGAGAAACTATGATAAAAATAAAGGTGGAACTATGCTAATAAAGGAAATGGAAATATACGCACTAGGGAGCTTGGTGGACAGTGGATGGATGCATCTGGATGGCTGGCGCTATAGGGCGCGCAAGCATGGGAACGTGCGCGCGCGTATACATCGTGAAGCGCGGGAATGGTGCGCGCATGGTGCGCGTTGCGCAGGAAAGCTGCGCGTCATATAGGAATCACTGTGGATGGTACACAGAGTGATGCTGCGAGTTGGTGCTGTATACTCCCTAGTGTAAAGTGCCATATCACACTATGAGATGCACGAGTCTCTACAACGCGTTCCCGCGCTTGAGCGCCCTATAGCGCCAGCCATCCAGATGCATCCATCCACTGTCCTCCAAGTTCTCTAGTGCGTATATTTCTGTTTCTCTCATTTGTATATTATTCCACCTTATTTTTATCATGGACCCTTACTTATATATATCTCTACATACCTACTCGGTAGCGCTTCGGCTCCGCATGACCGCACTTAGGCGCGCTATATAAGTGCCAGCAGTACATACTACAAGGAAGTTTTCCACTTACTTTTCACTTACTTTCCCTTTAACTTACTAGTTACCACCTACCATTTTACTTAGCAGAACATAGTAGAAGTCTATTTGTCTACACTTCGCATCTCTCTTCTCCTACCTTGCATCATATTATCACTTAAGCTTAGTCTTTATCAATTTCCGCATACGCGCGCGCGCTTTCCCGTGCTTCGCGCTAATACGCGCGCGTGTTCCCGTGCCTTGCGCGCACCTGCGCTTTCTCGTGCTTCGCTTCAGCGCGTACCTGTAGATCTTTGCTGCACTCGCTTCCCCTAGGGTCGAACGCGCTTGCCACCTCAAGCATAGCAGACTAGGCAATGCTTGACCTACAACATTTTTAGATACAGTTAGGAGCATCATTGTTCCTTGTTGTATTGTTGTTTCTACAGCGGACAACCGTCTCACCCTGTATAACAGCATGGAGCATGCTTCACAATTTTGGCTCAACAAGTATTGGGACAAGAACACGTATCTTCCTCTTTCTATGTAGCTTTTGATGTGGGGTTACCTTGTTTCTTATGACTTTCATACTGTGCAATGAACGGATTGGTTGAGCGGTCTAGCCTTTGGTTATTCTAGTCTGTTTTATTCTTAGATCACTAGTTCTGAGAATTCTGTCACTATGTGGCGATAAGCTTGAGCGCCCATCATTTGTCCATTGTTCAAGTACAAAAAATGGCATTCTTTTTCAGGACCATTGACAACGGAATCAAATTATTGTCATTGGTGTCTATCCCAGAAGTCACCGACGTTCACACTATGAACAAGATCACGTCCGACGAGCTTAATCGTCTAGTCACTCACGAGGGTTCACCAGAGGCCTCACAACTGCTTGGACACCTACTTTCTGAAATATTCCAGCCTTTCACAGAACCTCTTCCCAATGTATGCGACCTTAAAATACCTTTTGGAAAAATCATTCATCGCAACAATCACATCAATGAGAAATTCAGCGAGACATCACCAGATACCCTAGTGCCACTGTACGACACTGAAGCGAAGACTTGGAATTGGGCTCTTCCAGTCGACCCACCTGGAGATGATGATAGCAGCCTTCTGGGTCAGGTTGAGTTGTCAGAGAGCAACAATCCACAGGAAGCAACCCACAAAGAAATTTTTGCAGCATTTCTCAATGCTCTGGTTGGCTGCTTTGCAGCGTCACAGCCCAAACTAGTAGCCATGCGCTTTGCAACTAGCTCATGGAGTGCAGCCAATGCACATAAGGCATTGCCCGGCAGTGACATCAAGTGCAAGCCAGATATCGTTCTATCTGACAACATATCAGCAAAGTGGGGAAACATCAGAGTCTCAGCTGAACTCACGCACAGTCGCTACCAGCCTGCGATGCGACTTGGGAAGGCTGCAGATACCCATGCCTACCTTATGATGAGTGAGCAGCCCTGGAGGCGCTTTGCTCTCATATTATCATTCACAGACGAATATCGCCACCTAAGAGTCTTGATGTATGATCACTCTGGTGGTGCTGTGTCCCCTCGCTTCAATATCTACACACAACCTGACATATTCTCGCATATCATCGCGGCTATTACTTTTGGGAGTCTGGAGTGTGTCGGCTATGATCCCACTGTTTCCTTCTCGAGGACTGTTGCAGTATCCCAAAGCAAAGATATCTGCGTCTATCGTCCCATCAAAAATGCTTCTGCCCGATGTACTACGACAGATAATGCTGTTGCTGCATCCACCTCCGATTCTCTTTCATTTTCCGAGGATCCCGACGGAGTGTCAAGCAATGCTCTTGAATCATCAATCTCCGATAACTCTGATGAGTCTTCTAATGACTCTACTCATGACTCAATGCAAGGGAATCCGAGCGGCTCTCCCACACATGACTCAATGGATGAAGGGTACTTCCCCGCCCCTCCCCCCCCAGTGCACCCCACTGCAACCCACAGCGGTCCCCTTGTTAGCCTCGCATCCCAAGTACCCCAGGCTGAGATGACCGAGAGCATCTATTCCGTTACCCCTCTCCCTTCCCAATTCCCCTATTCTACTCAATCACCTGAACCCTGCGGCAAGATCCACATAGGGCAGACAATCTACACCATAAAGAGAATTCTTTTTACAAGCCAGGGCCTCGTTGGTCGTGGCACCATTTGCTACTTAGTCACCTTAGATGATGAAGACTGTATCATCAAAGACCATTGGGTTGTGGATAAGGATGATCGGGTAGTCCTGAACGAGATCAAGATGCTGGAGTTGATGGATGGTGTCCCTGGCATTCCAAAGCTGGTAGATTATTGGATCGTTGAACGGTCAGATGGCATGCCTGATGTTACCAAAAAATATCGGAAAAAGGAATGCCGGAGCACCCAGGGCACTAGTCGCACTCATGTGCGTCCTGTCTTGAAGCCATGTGGTCGCCCCCTTCACATGTTCCGAACACTTAAGGAGTTTGTGCGAGCACTAAGAGATATTGTTAAGAGTAAGTACTATCTAGTAATTCATGGGGCGTCTTGAACTGATGCTTTCTAATGTTAGTTCAACAAACTGCGGTGGAGGAACATCAGATTTTGCATCAGGATTGTAGTCTTAACAACGCAATGATCCTAGACGACATTAGTGGCAGGGAAGGCTTTCTTATTGACTGGGAGTTTGCGGTTTGCATCGCTGCAGATCATAAATATCCCCTTGGTGGTACAGTAAGTATACTTAGTATTGATTAGATATTCAGTTTATTGATTCATTTGCCAGGGCACGGTCCCTTTCATGTCACGCGGGCTTCTTAACCAAGTCTCAGTCATCCAGCAGGAAGCTGAGTTGGAATCTCAGGAGAAAAAAGCGACTCGGGGACGCAAATCAGTCGAAAAACTGAAAACCCCGAAATCGTCCTCTGATTCTAAAGCGCTACCTGTATCATACGTCCTTCAAACTTTTTCGGATGACCTGGAGTCCCTTTTTTTTGTGTTCGCATGGGCTTGCATCAAGTTCTGTGGTCCCAACAGCATGGTGCACAAGGAATGCTCGCCCAATTCATTACTAAATCAATGGACCAACCTTGACCTGGGGTCATGCGCCACCTTCAAGATCACTTTTTTTGCGAATCCGACAGATGGAAAGCATCTTATAGACGAATTTCACCCATACTTCAACCCCCTGATCCCCCTCACAATAGAGTGGTGTAGAGTTCTGGTGGACAACATGATCCACCCCGTCACCTTTGACACCATTCTTGGTGTACTCAACTCTCATCTCGACAAGCTTCCTGACGACGAGGAGCTCGTATCTACTGTGAACATGTTCATGAATGATGCTGTCATTCTCACATGTCGTGTCAAGGGCAAACAGATTGCTTCAGAGTCTTTCTCTGTGGCAGCCACAACACCTAAGCAGCAAAAGTCTCGCCATGGTGATACCGAGTCCGACTCCTCAGCATCAGGCAGTGACACATGACCAGACATGGAGCTTGTATGTATGAAAGATCGTTTAATTTGGGCACCCACTCATTACGCATATTCAGCTGTCATTCTTCTTTATTGATGTATGGATAGCATGCCGCTTGACTTTAGTATTTTTAGAACCTCGCTGATCGTCTACTACTGCCAGTGACTTGGAGATTGGGGCAAGATGTGCTTACAACACTTACTTACCAGCACCTCATTTATTCCTACTAGTATATCATTCTCTCAAGCTCACAATCGATCTATTACTAGTCTCTGTGCCGGATTACTACTATGTGACGTCTGGACATGATTACATAAGATTTTGACTCATGTGATCAGCAATCTGAGTCTGGCACTTACTAGAGTACTACTACTAACTGACGTGTTTTTCTAGTACATTTTCTAGCGGACCGCAGGCTGGACTCGGACATTAAAAATGTGCAGTTCTCCTCCTCCAAAGATGACCTGACGGCTGCACATCGGCTCAGGTCATGGTGTGTTTCTTTAGTACTGTTACTGTTACTAATGATGAAGTTTTTCTCGCTAGTCATGCGAATATTGAGCACGAGACATGATATTAAATCCTCGTGATGACTTAGGTGTGTTTCCTTATTACTATTGGCCTTACAAATGATGAAGTTTTCTCTTGCTAGCCATGTGAATATCGCACAGTACGCGCATGATATAAAACCCTTGTGAGTCTGATCTAATTTGTTAGAGTCGCCTTCTCCTGCGTTCTTTCTTGCAGTCATGCCTCCTCGCACCATCACCAGTCCCAAGAAGAAAAGGTCCAAGTGCAAAGGATCTGATGCTTCAAAGGCTGGCTTGCCCAAGAAGACTCGGGCTGCAGACGTTGCTGAAGTACCCGGTGCGGTACCTCTTGTATCCCTTGGCCTCATTGCAGCAGAAGTGGGAGACAATGCACCCCGGCGTTCTGGCCACCCTAATGCTGGAACTGGAGGTAGGACGATGTCTCTTGGCCCCGACATTCCAGTCAATCCTCAAGCCCCAGAACCGTGTCGTAAAGGTCGAAAGAAGTCTTCAAAGGTAAGCATCTAATTAATGTTGTTACTTACGTTGATTGGCCTGCAGGAGGTTCCTCCACCATATAGCTCACATCTAGATACCCATCCAGATGTCCCAGCCATGGATATCATTCACACAGGGCCCAGCTTTACATCGCAGCAACCTGGTGGAAGGTTCAGATTTGCTACTCCAAGCACTACAGAAATCGCTCATTCCGATACTACCGAGCTCAATCTTCAGGCATCGAACGACCCATATGTCGCCATTAGGACAAAGGTCGTTGAGCAGCGCGCTCCTGATGCTATCGCTGAGCAGAGAGCTAGGGACACAATCGCTGAGCAGCGAGCTAGGGACACAATCGCTGAGCAGTGAGCTAGGGATGCAATCGCAGAGCAGTGAGCTAGGAACACAGTCGCAGTGCAGCGAGCCAGGGATGCTATCGCTGAACGGCACGCCCAGAATGTTGTCCCTGAAAGTCCGGTATTGCCAAGGTCCGTGTTTTTGGAGCAGAACTTGGATCCAGCCCTATGCCAGGAGGATGATGCTGTTAGGGCTCAGTATCGTTTGAGGCTGCTAGGATCCGAGGAGCACAGTGACTCCAAAGGCAGTAGCAGAAGTGATGATAGTGATGACAGCAACAATGAAGATGCCAATGAAGAGGATGACGTAAAGGACGAAGAGGAGGGCGATAACAACGACACGGTTAAGGGCTCGCAGGATTTTGATTGGGGGGAGGTTGGCCGATGCCAGAAAGAACATCCAGGTAAATATTTCATAGCAATTTTTTTCTCTTCACTAATTCAATTTTGTAGGATTTTTAGAAGATGCACTACCTTCACAACCTGCAGTCGCTCGCGCTCTCACACCTGAATTTGAATTCCAGTACTCACGTGATGAAGATGACGTGATTGCCCAAACGAGCCTTGATAAAACCTCAGTAAGTTTTCTAGTCTGGCCGAGACCAATTCTCATTTTAAATTGTTTGTTCAGCGGAACAAAAGCTCTAAGGTATGATCCAATCATTCAATTGTATCATGCTTACATTGCTTTTCTTTTAAGGGCCTTCCGGATGGCTCACCAGGACTGCAAGGGCAACGGTCCCAACACATGGAGGTAAGATCAGGGAGATCATCTTAATTGACACTCATGATTGAGCAGACCATTACCTCAAAGCCCGACAACATATTGCAATGCCACCATAAGAAAAATGGAAAGCCCCGCCTTCCTGAGCCTGAATCCCTCAAACTATTGGATCAAGTGACCGAGTCTAGTGTTCAGCCATCGAAAAACAAAAAATCCAGGTCATCGCATGGTGGGCCAATGCCCAATCAATTATCTTGGTACAGGCTGCGCTGGAAAAGTTTTCTGGAGGATGCCAAAGCAGAATGTCGTGTGCAACACGCCCTGGAGAACCCGTTTCCAACTTTGGGGAAGAATCTACCAGGAACAATAACTGAAGTTCTTGGTGCAGTGTTGGTCGTGTGGGATACAAACGGCAAACAATTTGAAGCTGGCAAGTACTCATTCGTTCTTATTCGTTCTTGAACTCATCTGTCATATTGTGATGCAGGGGTTTGGCCAGAGCAAAAATTCAATATGACTCGGTTGGTAGGTGTATAATTCATTTTGTGCTGATACCTCAATGACGGTCTATACTGAAAGCTGTACGACAATCTTTCAACTTGGCGATCTGACTTGAAGAAGACCGCTGTAGGGATTCATTTCTGGCTGGGCTTGTAGAGACTGTTTTTACCTTACCTTATGTTGGCACTTTTGTAGCTTACATAAGCAATCAATCTTTTCACCAGTTACCAGTATGAGTCTGAGTGCTCAGTAGTTTTCTATGATATTTCCTCTCCTCTGAGCCTTGAGCCTGGTCCAGAAACCCTTTAGGGTCGAATAGCAGCTAGGTTCTGCAAGACCCAACACATTGTTCAGACTCACCCTCTGAATTGTTGTACCTTCACTGCCATAAGCACTGTACCAGTATCATATTTGCTTGTTCCTCCGCTTTCAGTCCCCGTTCAAGAACATGCTGCTTGGATCGAACATGCTGCAGCTGAATTAATCAAAGGATCATTTTTCTTACGGTTTGGGGTGGATGAACAGGTAAGTGATCTGGTGCTGATTGCAATTGTACTAATGGAAGATTGCCAGGGGAGAACACGAAACTTCGCTCATCCTGCCCTTCGTGAAACCGTCATCTCATTCTTCTACACAGGACCATACCAAATTGCGCGAAGGATGCCGGAGATCTTCCGCATGGAATTGCCACTTTCATGTTTGGCTTTGGTTGCTGCAGCGGTAACTTTCTCTCCTTTACCGATATTGTATGTTAATTTTGCATTTTATTATTAGTTCAATTGTGTCCTCAATGGCCTTGCAAAGAATGGACACGGAAAGTCATACCCAAATTTTTCCATGAAGGACTACGGACCTATCTATTGTCAGATGCTGGAATTGCTCAAATGTATCCTCAAGGATGCGTATCATGGGCCTAGACTGTTAGCTCAACTGCAAGAATGGGCTGCAGCAGGATGGCAAGGATCTTGACTCTGTGAAAATTTTCATACTGATTTTCATTTGTACAGGGCTGCAGCTATGAATTTCAAAGGAGTTGTTGAGGCGAGGCACGACCACCTGCAGATTCTTCTCGACTAACGTTTCGTCCTGTTTTATATCAACCGAGCATTTATTGTTTTAGCGCACCATATCATTGTATTCCTGATCGTGATCTAGTACCGTCTGTCATAGTCATGTGATTCAATATGATTTTTGTTTTAAATTCTGTCCAGTGTAATGTAAGCAGTACAGTGAGCAATGTCTGTACAGCTCCGATTCTCTGGATGCGCCGTGAGTGTCTGTACAAAGATGGACAGCAAAAAAAATTGCAATTTAGGTAGAATTTCGTAATTACTGTGTGGTCTGTGGGTGTCTGTACAGAGATCCACAGCGCAAAGTGTTACTGTGATGAACTGACTAATTGGGACCAAGCTGTAGAGCTTGCACACTGTGCAGCGCTGTACAGCACTGTACAGCGCCAAGTAGTTTACTGATGACTCACCACTTCTTTCTTCACACTCGTGCGCACTGGCGAGTTTACGGTACCCTCTCTGCGAAGCTTCGATCCACTGGTACACGTATGGGTAAGCGACATGAGAGACGAAACCGATCGCAATGGTTTCTGTGTAACCGTGTTCCACTTACCTCGTACCAAGGTCGCACTCGCTGGTGAAGATGTCTATTGGGCTGCTCAAACGGGCACGATTGATCCCCTTGCTGCCATGAAAAATCACCTCGACATTAACAAACCGTCCACCGGAGATGCCTTATTTAGCTGGAGACATCAGTCAGGATTACGTCCGTTGACGAGGTCGCAATTCCTGCAATGCTTGCAGACAGCCAGTGATAGTTTGGGTGGAGGAGCTCTCAAAGGCCATGGCATCCGCATCGGAGGGACCTTGGAATACCTATTGAGGGGGGTACCCTTAGGGATTAGCATGGGTATACCCATGGGTATCTGTGGTGATACCCCCACCCACACCCACCAAAAACCCACACCCACACTGGTGGGTGTGGGTTTATTCATGGGTACCAGGGATGGCTACCCATACCCATACCCATAGAGGGTATACCCATGGGTACGACATGAACAATTGGTACTACACACTTAGATATCTTAATGAATGTTGTAGTAGTACTGGAGACAAATATACTGCTAGTCTCACCTTGTTAATTGGCAGTCATTTGAGAGAGATAAAGCTAAATAAAAACCCAACACCAGTAAGTCTCTGAAAAATGCAACAATAAAAGTTGACATTATCCTTGTAATACTAGTTGAGACAAGTCTGTTGTGAGTCTTATTTTGTTAATCAGTAGTAATTTGAGCAAAATAAAAATACATATTGATGAGTTTGGCCAAACACAAGTTGTTATTATCATTACGTATCTTGATGAAAATTGTAGTGCTATGTAAGGTGAGTCTATGGCTAGTTTATCTTATCAATTAGTTGACATATCAGTAACCTAAGGATTGAACACTACTGAACCAAAGTTCAAAGTTGTATTTCTATAGTCTACATGTAACATGATAGATGGAATCAACATAGATGACAAAGATAGTATTATTGAAAATGAAGTTGTTGGCTATTCAACCTAGGCATACCATTCACTGAGACCACTACTAGCATATTTGACAAAGTTGAATCACATATCACAGTGCAAAGATAATTTTTTTGCCTACATACCCACTGTGTGGGTGTGGGTAGGGGTGTGGGTATCCTAAGTGCCTACCCCCACCCATACCCCAGAGGTACCCACACCCACGACCCACGTGGGTTGAGGATACCCATGCTAATCCCTAGGTACCCTTCGAATCGGTAAAAACAATCGGACGCTGGTCAAGCGACGCCTTCCTTCTATATCTCCGTTGACATGCAGTGATACTAGTGCCCTACTTACAGGACCGCCCAGTCTTAGAACTGTTTATGCGCTATGCGCTACCTTAATTTTCGTAAGTTCCGCGTTGTCTCCTAAAGCTTGGGGTCAAGCTGACGCTAGATGCGTCGTCACGCTCCTAATTATAGGGAATCTCAGCTCACTCTTGCCCCTCCTAAGAAGAGACCTGTCTCATGTTTCGGTCGAAAACCCCTTCGGGGTTTTGCTCAAACTCTCGTTTAATATGTTGTCTGCCTTTCGCTAGTCAGCACTTAATAATATGATTCGCGTGTTCTTTCCCTTGATCACATTCAGCTTCTGAACGATAAGCATAGATGAGATGCAATACATCTTGCTGTGTGATAAATATTACACGGATACCCGGATGTAATTCATATACCTCATTTGAACATTCAAAATTCTATCTGGTCGTTAGAATATGCAACAGCAATGTATACACGTCAAAGAACTCACACTAGCCATAAAATACGCCCTCAAGTCTTGCATGCAACTCGCTGCCCAACGCCTGCCGGGCAAATTCTGCTCGGTCTGCTATCCATTCCCCACTTGTTTCAAAACAAGCAGGGGGATAAACAACCGTTTCTTCACGAACCTGTCGATACCTCAGCACCTCACGCACAACGCGTCCATCTCCTTTCTCTACCATCATCTTCAACAGCATCTTGGCCGCATCCTCTTGCTCAGCCCCAACTTCCTCGGACCGAAGATCAGGCCAGATATTGCATGCCACGTGGTGTACCGCAACAAGGCGCAGGAATCCATCCACTGATCCTTGGAGAAGCGCACCGGCGTATTTTCCGATCATTTCGCCTTTTTCGATCGGGTACAGGAAATCTCTGAGATCCCCTGCGATGACCTGGTCCACAGGGGTACGTACAGTACACAACACATGCGCAAAGTCTGCCCATAGTATCCGACGATAGTCGATGGGGTAGGTTAGCGCGAGAGGTGGAAGGAGAAGGGATGCGAAGGTTGGGTGTGAGAAAGAGATAGCGTCGTATAGTGCCAGGAAGTCTGTGTGAAATTGGTAAAAAAGTGTGCCCGATCCGAGGAATGGCAGAGAGGCCTGCTCTAGGTCAATATCAGGCAATTTGGATGAGGGCGACGAAGCAGAAGCAGCACTGAGGGTGGACGGTGCCAGGAGGTCAGACAATAATTTCGAAACAATGAGGTCTCGGAACACTTCTTCTCCGTCTCCTGTTGCCGGTGAGGGATATTCCTGCTGTTGGCCGTGTTCGAGCATGAACACTTTTATGCAAGCAGAAACCATCTCTGAACGCTTCAGAGCGAACTAGTTTAAGCTATATCGCACCACAATTTCTTGCGTGGCTTTGATAAACAGCAGCGACGCGCGAACGACGTCAACTTCGGATGCATCCCACGACGAGGGAAGTGCCTTGAAAACGGGCGAAGACCCAGACCGAAGAAGATGGTCAATTGGTGAAGTAAGCCACGCATGAGGCAACGGAAGGCCAGTTGGGCGATGCGACATGAGCGAGCTGCTCCAGAAGACGGAGCAGTTTTCGCTGAACCGTTTGGATTGAGTATCTTGGCATCTATACACATATACGAGAATCACTTGAATTTGTTTCAAGAAAACTATATGGTACTTTATGCCGACATGAGTATAAGTTCGGCACTGAAAATGTTTAAAAGATCAGCGAATTAGTCTCAAACTAAGCGCCATATGTGAACGAATACGGTAAGCAAGGTAAAATGGTGTTTGATCTGTTCATCGGGTGTACCTCATCGGCGAGAGACTGAATGAGATTTTTGAGAGCTGCATATACAGCCTATAGGCCTCATCTACGTACCCTACTGCTCGAACATGGTTTCAGGGTTGATGTCAAGGTGGTAGAAAAATACGAATCGCCTAGGATTGTCAGGGGGATGGAGTGCGACTGCAGCTAGATGGAGCTTAATGGCCTCCCTCGCCCAGGTCAGATGGGGCGGCACATTCCACGAATTCGGTTGGAAGGCTGCTGGCAAAGTCGTTGAGACATGAATTAGAGAATGGCCAGGGGGACGCAGTGCGAGTGCTGCCCGGTAGAACTCGGTGGCCTCGTCCAAGTTAGGCAGAGCGCCCTGCTGCCTAAATCTGTCACAAAGGCTGACGGCAAGGTTGTTCATATAATTGGATCGAAGAGCATGGTGAGGTGGACAGAATATGAGTGTAGCTCTGTGGAGCTCGATGACATCTTCCAGTTCAGACAGGGTTCCGTGCTGCTGAAATCGGTCACAAAGGCTGGTGGCAAGGTTGTTGATATACTCCAATTGAGGAATATGGCCAGGGGGACACAGTGCTAGGGTGGCAGCGTGGAGTTTGATGGCCTCATCCAGGTCAGACGGGGAGCCGCCGCCTCCATCTGTCATGAAGGCCGATGGCAAGTTTGTTGAGAGTCATGGATCGACCAGGATGACCAGGGGAACGGAATGGAAGTACAACTCTGTAAAGCTCGATGGCCTCATCCAGGTCAGACAGAGCACCCTGTTGCTTGAGTCTGGCTTGGAGACTGAAGGCCAGATTATTCAGATACATTGACTGATCAGAAGAGCCAAGAAAGACCCTCCTGCAAGATCGCTGAGTCGTCATCTCTTGACATCATCTGCTATGCTTTGTACTGAAAATCATGAAGTTCAATAGATACGGCAAAGAATATCGAAGCAGGATTGAGCAGCGCGAAGTTATCTAGATGAGATTGCAAGAACACAAGCTCAATGTCGAGTGTCTGGATAATGAGTACAAAGCTGAGGATGATCGGAGCGCTACGCACAAAATAGCGATACAGCAGCTGTCGTGTCTGGATACGGTTATGCACTGTAGAGTACGCTGGCATCAGGAATATCAAAAAGGAACGGAAGAACAACGGTGACAATATTATCTGCACCAAGGAGACGCAGGCCGACAATCAGCTCGACATTGCGGGTCTTCACCCTCACCAACTCGTCGATATCGGAAGTTCATTCAGCCTTGAAGAATCTGCACTTTCCATCGATTGATGGGAGGACAAATGACGTGACGTGCTTGTTTTATTTGTCTGGGAGTTGGCGTTATGGCGCTCCATCACTGAAAACCGGATAACCCGGTATGACAATATTTACCTTATAAGGTTGGCGAAATCTGTGTTGTTTGATTATTCTATTACGTAACGAGGAACGAGCGGAGGAATAGAATGTAGTCTTTGCGCAAGCGACGGATGCAGTACGAACTCTTTCTTTCGTACTGCGACGTCCTCGTGTTTTCAGCCTAGTCGTCCTCAACGACTTCGTATCCCATCCTTTTCTTTTCTTTATCATCAGCTATTGATTTCTACTTTCTCTTAGGTCGCTGTACTTTACAGATAAACTAATCCAAGCAACCTTCCGATTCACACCAATCGCACATGAACCGCATACTGGCTGACCCAGCGCTCGAAGCGCAGCCGAACTTCGAGTTCCCAGCTTACGCGGCTTGGCTCAATGCTATCGTTGCAGGAGGACCTACCAGAGAGGCGGCCCTGGAGCAAATGGCAGAGAGTTGGAGGCTGGAGCGCCAAGAACGCTTCGTTCTATGGCAGCAGCAATCTGAAGAAGATCTTCGAGTCCAGCAAGAGCAAGAAGATCAAGAACGCATTGCGAAAGAAGCCGAAGCGGCCGAAGAACAGCGAGAAGCAGAGAAGAAGAAGCCCAAGATCAACGACTTCGATGCCGAAGCCGTCGTGGCAGACGTTCTTATTCCTCGCCCTTCGCAGTATGCACTGCAGAAGATCAAAAGCATGGAATATGTCGAGCTGTGGTACTTCAGTCCAGAAGGGTGCCGGGAAGCTTTAGACAGTTGCAGGTCCACGGCGGAGGACTCCTTTGGCCTGGCAAAGGTTGATGGGTACGTCGCGTTCAAGCCGATGGCATCATTCAAAGCTTCGCAGAAAGCGCTACAAGACCATGACCTATCTTGGCGTCAATTCGACATGGCAAAAACGAGCTTCTTGATCCATATAGACAAATGCGGCTGGCCAGACAAGCACCAGCAAGCCTTAGCGCTCTTCTTCACTCTCATTACCAACCACGAGCACCGAATGCGAACTCGTGGCGAGAAGACTTTACTTCGTTACGCAGGGTTCGTCAGACGGGAATGGCATGACCGTCTGGCTCAAAACCAAGGCTTCAACATCGGGATTTTCAACAGCGCTCTGTACAACACCCTCTCGGATGACGTCTGGGAAGCGGAACGTGATGAGAGCATCAAATTGGTATATACTTCTGCAGAGTCATCACTTCATGACTAACAAATTCATGCCTTCTTTTCTTCCATGCTCCCATCTGCGCGTGTTCATCACCACGCTCGCTTCCTTCTTCCATGCTGCCGCCCATTACGCTATCCTTTTGGAACCTTCTTGCTTCCGGCTTCTTCGCCATCAACAAACTTGCTTATCATGCTGCTCGCTCCCACCGTTATCGCATTCTTTCACGCACTTCGCTACCCGACTTCATCATCCACCAGCTGCAGAATTCCATTGCTGCACCAAACACCCACGCTCGATCCCATGGTCGTGAAGTGAACTCAAGCAGAGGGAAAGAACCTTCTCCTCCTACCTTGGACAATCGCTACCACCCATACCGCACACCCGCTGCAGGTCAGTCCAGCAGGAAGCCATCAAACAACCAGCAGTCTTTTCCGTCGAGCACAGGCCAGTCCGGACCAGCCGCCTGTGCTCTATGCCTTGGTCGATTCCGCCACAACATCCACAAATGCACGTCCGAGTTCCTTTGGGACAAACGAACCAAAGCTCGCTGCTGTCGCAACGCCGAAGGACACATCACCAATCCCGAAGGGCGCGAACTATGCTACGACTGGCAAAGGCCCAGAGGATGCTCCAGCAGCTCCCAATCTCACGTACACGAGTGTTCAGGGTGCGGAGCCAAGGATCACGGCGCTCAAGACTGTCCTCAGGGAGAGAGAATCCAGAGCACTCACGCCGTATAACCCAGAGGTATGGCTCTGGCATCTCAAGTCCGCAAACCTCCTGCATAAATACGCGCACATACCCAATGGCTTACGGTTTGGCTTCATGGGAAGCGTCCCTTCTATTTCTTTCACTTACACTCCTTCTAATAGTCCTTCTCTCATTGAACATCACTCTGCTTTCGCCACCATACTCCATCGTGAATTTTCCACTGGTCGATACATCGGCCCGCTATCTAAGTCAGAAACCGAAACTCTTATTGGACCATTTCAGTCGGCACCGTTATCCATGGTGCCGAAACCGGGTAAGCCAGGCAGGTTCCGCGTGGTCCAAAATCTTTCATTCCCTTTGCACCCATCCCCAACCATATCATCTATTAATTCATCTATCGACTCTGATTTATATCCATGCACATGGGGCACTGCCGCCACCATCTGTCTTCTCGTATGGTCTCTTCCTCCAGGTTCCCAGGCCGCAGTTCGCGACGTCGCCGAAGCTTATCGAACGATCCCACTCCATCCATCCCAATGGCCGGGACTGGTCGTCAGAACCGGACTTGACGACTTCGCCATTGATTCTAGTTTTTGCTTCGGCTTCACTGCCTCCGCCGGAACTTATGGCGAGGTGGCAGATGCAGGAGCGGACATTTTTCGTTCTCAGGGTATCGGCCCAATTTCAAAGTGGGTCGACGATCATTTATTTATACGTATTCTTCGTGAGCACCTTAACAGCTACAATAACCTTCGCGAGGCTCGAGCGTCCATCATCGCGAGAAACGGAGGGCTACTGGTGGATGGGGGTAGAAAGTGGTACAAGGGATCCGTCATGCCAGATGGACGAGTGGAGGAATTCGATGAAGACTTATCCTTTCCGATACTGGACTTATCATCATCATCGCCTCGTTCTCCCGAGGACGCCTTATTCACTTACTCTTTCGAAGACATCGACCGTCTATCCAAGCTACTGGGCATCCCGTGGGAGCTCACAAAAGACATTCTCTTCTCACCATGCGCACCATTCATTGGTTTCCTTTGGGACCTTTCGGCACGCACCATATCAATTCCGGACAAGAAGAAAGAGAAGTATCTGGCCGCCATCCTCAAATGGGAGGCACGACGAACGCACACCTTGCAAGAGGTCCAGCAACTCTATGGCAAGTTGTTGCACGCTTCCTTGGTACTCCCAGCAGGACGAGCGTACCTCGTATCGCTGGAAGCCATGCTACCTACCTTCCGTGATCGTCCGCACATGCCACGTACCCCCCCAAAGACCACCAGCGACGACCTTCGCTGGTGGAAAGCCAACTTCACTCAACCAATCATATCCCGCGACATCCCAGGTCCAATTGAGGTCATCGACCCCTCAGCTTACTCGGACGCTAGCTCAGGCACTGGCGTCGCGATATGGATCAATGGCCGCTGGCAGGCATGGCGTCTCCTCCCCGGCTGGAAGGCCAACGGCAGGGACATTGGTTGGGCAGAGGCTGTCGGGATGGAGTTTCTCGTCAGCGCAATCCTTACTCAATGCGCAGAAGGTAGCTGCATCAAAGTATTCGGCGACAATCGCGGCGTCGTCGAAGGCTGGTGGAAAGGCCGGAGCCGGAACAAAGCCACCAACGACGTCTTCAAACGGATCCATGAGCGCGTCGCAACGGCACAGTGTTCCATACTCACCCGCTACGTCCCCAGCAAGCACAATCCTGCCGACGGCCCTTCTAGAGGCGTCTTCCCGTCCCTTAGCCTCCTCCTCCCTCCCATCCAAATCCCTACAGCGCTCGAACTCTTCATCGCCAACTTCGATGACCCCTTACTCCCTTCTGAACGCAGCTCTAGTGATGCAGAGGTCAAAACGTACTCACCTCCAGCTTCGCGCGGTCCCATGCATCACCGATCAACAAGGCTCAATGACGAGTTCAGGCGCCAAGGCGAAGAACTCCTCAAAGCGGCGCAAACTTAGTAAGCACGTTTTTCATTCATCATGCATCGCAGCACCTGAAGGGGCAACTCCCTTCACAGCCTATGCTACTGATCCTGCCCTTAACACCTCCATCCTACGTCCGCACTGCCCAGCCAAAGATCGGCTCCGTCTTTGGCTTCCTTCGAACCCTCGATTAGCGACGACGTCCCTCCCTCACGCGGACGCCCAGCAGATACAGAACGTTATGATACACGCCTGGGCGCGCAGCACGCAAGAGACGTATGGCAGCGGCATCCTCGCATACCACATCTACTGCGACTCCAAGTCAATCGCAGAGGATCTGAGAGCCCCCGCATCATCTGAGTTAGTCTCCGCGTTCATCTCTGACTTAGCCGGCTGTTATTCAGGCAAAACGATCACCGGTTACGTCCACGGAGTGCGGGCATGGCATATTCTGCATGGAATAAAGTGGTCACTCGAAGAAGACCAGATTGATGCGCTGCTAAAGGCAGCTAAAAATCTCACTCCTGCATCGTCGAAACGAAGGAAACGGCAACCTTACACGATAGTCTTCATAACCAATCTTTTGCAGAAACTGAATCCGGACGATCCCATCGACGCAGCTGTAGCCAGCTGCTTGACTACGGCCTTTTACTCCATCGCTAGAGCCGGAGAGTTCACTATTCCCAACCTAACTTCATTCGACCCCGCAGCCCACGTGAAACGCAGTGACATCCGTCACGAGAAAGACCGCAATGGTCTGGACACCACCGTCTTTCACCTCCCTCGCACAAAAACGTCGCACAACGGCGAGGACGTATTCTGGGCCAAGCAGCAAGGTATCACAGACCCAGAGGCAGCTCTGGAGAATCACTTTCGCGTTAACGATCCT